GAGTTAGAAGTAACCTCTGAGCACCGCTGGGTGTGACCAAAAAAAGAAAAAAAATTCTTTGTGTTAGGTTGACCTACAGGAAATTGGAAATACTTGACCAACTTTTGCTTATAAAAATCTAATTTCACTGGTCTGAGAGATAGTACAGCAGATAGGGGCTTGCCTTGCATGTGGCCAACCCAGGTTCAATCCCTGGCACCCCAAATGGTCCTCCAAGCCCTGCCAAGAGTGATCCCTGAGTACATTGTTGGGAGTAAGCCCTGAGCATTGCCAAGTGTGACCCCAAAACAAAAACAAACAAAAATACTAATTTCATATGTTTCAAATATAACTATATAGAGACACATAGAAAACCACTATGCTTTTCAGTTCACCTAAACATTGACTACTTTCATTGCTTCTGTTTGTATTTCTCTCCTTTTTAGGTTCCGTTCCCAGATCCTTTAGAGTCCCTTTCGTGAGAATCTGTGAGTGGTCCTCTGAAATAAACTTATTTTTCTTTAATTTTTAAAAAATGTGGGGCGTGGTGGGCACACCTGGAAACACTCAGATTTTTTTCCTAGCCATCAGGAATCACTCCTGATGGTGCTCGGGGGACTATATGGGATGCTGGGGATCAAACCCAGGTCTTCTGCATCCAAGTACTATCTTACCTGCTTACTACCTTACCTGCTATACTATTGCTCCAGCCCCTATTAAAAATATTTTCATCTTTTAAATTTTCAATTTTTTCCTTTTAATTGAAATATGATTGGTATTCATTGACATGTCACATGAAGCTTTAATATTTGCATCTATTCCTAACGGATCACTACAATAAGTCTAGATAGCATCCCTCATCACAGAATTACATATACATACATATATATACATATATATATATGCAGAGGCAGTGTGGGGAGATGGTTAGGGCCACACCTCGCTATGCTCAGGGCTTATTCCTGGCTCTGCACTTTCCTTATGATAAGCACTTATTACTAAATACATGTCATTCTGTACGATGATAAAGATGATGATAAGGTCTACTCTCTCAGCAACTTTCTCCCCCCCCAGCACATGCCCTGCAATGTTAGGAATTAAATCTCGGTACTCACAACTGCAAGGCAAGTGCTCTGCCCCTGAGCATATAGATCCTCAGCCCAGGAACTTCCAAGAACATCCTCCAGTGCCGTTTAGCACAAGTCTTCATGCTATGTATGACATCCCTGGAATTACTCCCTACGGACACAGGAGTGTCTCACCCCATCACGGTGAACAGCAGGTGACCAGTCATCTATTTTCTGTGTCTCTGAGTTCAGGGTACTTTTGTGTGTTTGTTTCAGATCTAACATGAGTTTGATCCTATGGCATTTGTTCTTCTCTGTTTTGTTGGCAATGTGGAGGGCTGGGGGCAATTGGGGTCACACCTAGCTATACTCAGGGTTTGTTCCTGGCTCTGTACCCCAGAATTACTCCTGGCAGTGCTCAGGGAGCCATATGAGAAACTGTGGGGTCAATCCTAGGTTGGCCATGTGAGAGGGAAGCGCTCTCCCCGCTGTACTATCCCTCCAACCCCATTTGTTCTTCTTTGACTGAATACGTAGGACTGTTAAAATTGAAAAAAAAAAACTACATTTTCAGCTACCCCCAGCCCCATGAATTCCTGATTCATGTTCTTCAGTGTAGTGTGTGTATGTATCAAAACTACGTTTTTATAATTGTAGTTTAAAATTATTTTTAAATTTTAAACTACAGAGTCAGAATAAAAATTACATTTCCCTAACAGAATAGGAGACTAACAATCAAGAATAATAGAGATAAGGACCAGGAGGTTTGCCTTCTGGCTTGGAAGCCGGCCTCACATGCTGGGGGAAAAAGCAGCTCAGATAGAGAAGGGAACACCAAGTAAAGGGTGTTGGGAGGACCCTCTCAGGTTGGGAGATGAGTGCTGAAAGTAGACTATAGACTGAACATGATGGCCACTCAATACCTCTACTGCAAACCACGACACCCAAAAGGAGACAGTGAACAAAAGGGAATGTCCTGCCACAGAGGCAGGGAGGGGTGGGGTGGGGGGATAGAGTGGGGGTGACGGGAGGAATAGTGGGATCATTGGTGATGGAGAATGGGCACTGGTGGAGGGATGAGTTATTAGATCATTGTATGACTGAAATGCAAACATGCAAGTTTGTAAGTCTGTAACTGTATCTCATGGTGATTCACTAATTTAAAAAAATATTTTTAAGTAAACAAAATCAGACATTCAAAAAAAATTACATTTCCCATCCTCCTTTCCAGCTAATGCTACCCATGTGACAATGCTGTGGTCAATGGGATGTCAGTAGAAGTGGTGAGTGCAATTTCTGAAAGATGTCTTAAGGAGGGAACACACCCTTTTCCTCCCTGTGCTGGATGAAATGAGAGATGCTGAAATTTGGACAGAAGCTGTGACATACAGGCCAGAGAGATAGTGCAATGGTTAAGGTGCTTGCCTTACACACATCCAACCTGGGTTCAATCCCCAGTTGAACCAATCCTAGATGGTCCCTCAAGCCCCACCAAGGATTGATTCCTGAATGCAGAGTCAGGAATTATAAACCCTGAGCACAACTGGGTGCAACCCCAAAATAAATTAAAAACCTATGACATGAGGCTGTGAATGTGACCAAGAAGAGAGACAAGAGACAAATCTCTCTCCTCCAGGGGCTGGAGTGATAGTACAGGGGACAGGGCGTTTGCCTTGCACACAGCCAACCCAGGTTTGATCCCCGGCATCCCATAGGGTCCACCAAGTACTGCTAGGAGTGCTTCCTGAGTACAGAGCCAGGAGTAACCCCTGAGCATTGCTGAGTGTGACCCAAAAAGCAAAAAAAAAAAAACCACCTCTCTCCTCCAGATCAACTGAGGAGGCTGGGGAGGCAGCTTAGTGGGAGAACTTGTGCCGGGCATGTGCGATGCCTTGCACTCAACCTCAGCTCTCTCTCTCTCTCTCTCTCTCTCTCTCTCTCTCTCTCTCTCTCTCTCTCTCTCCCTAACACACACACACTACACCAAAGAGCATGAACCATGGGCTGGGGGTGACTCAAAGGGCTGGAGCACAGCTTTGCATTTGGGAGTCCGGATTCTGGCACCTTCAGTAGTGCCTCCAAACACAGAACTCTGAACAGCCTCTGGACACCTATCAGTGACCCCAAAACACCCCCCTCCCCCAAAAAGTTTTATTTTCCCCTTCTGGTTCTGGGCTAGAGTGATAGCACAGTGAGTAGGGCGTTTACCTTGCATGCGGCCAACCCAGGTTCGATTCCTCCGCCCCTCTCAGAGAGTCCGGCAAGCTACTGATTATATCCTGCCTGCACGGTAGAGCCTGACAAGCTCCCCATGGCGTATTTGATGTGCCCAAAACAGTAATAACAAGTCTCACAATGGAGACATTACTGGTGCCCGCTCGAGCAAGTCGATGAACAATGGGAGGACAGTGCTACAGTGGACAGTGCTTCTGGTTCTAGCACCTAAGGTGCCGCAGGCAAGGTGTAGACAGGGATAAGTCCGAGAACCACACCAGTCTTGAAAATGGCATCAAGAAACCCCGATCACAGGGGATACGAGTCCCTTAAAGGGGTGGACCCCGATTCTGGAGGAACCCGCGCTTTGCCAATAAGAAGCAGAAGAAAAAAGGACCTGAAGAAGCTGCGAGCCAACTATGAGACTCTCAAGGCCCCAGTGAAGCCCAGGCAGGCCCCTGGCTCCATGTCCTGAAGGCAAGCAGCTGCCAGTTCAGCTGTCTTGCCTACATGGGTCATGCCAAGCCTGGGGAAAGGGCTTCTCCCAGACTGCCAGGAATTGTGAGCTCTGCCGGCCGAAACCCGAAGTTTAGACCCCCTGGCAGCGGCAGCTCCAGCCCGAGCACAAGCTCCCAGAGTGCTGGGCCCCCACTAAGGCTGTATCAGAAGCTTAGGTCAGCCAGCTAGGTCCAGCAGCCCGGGCTGCTCCCTGCGGAGGCTCTGCCCGTGCGGTTTGTATCAATACACCTGTAAGTGGGAGCTGTCCAAAACAAAACGCAACAATCAGGAGCTAGAAATGTGTGCATTGAAGTCGGGGCCCTGGATGTTGTACAAGGACTGGAGCGTGGGGCCGGAGTGATCGTACAGAGCGGAGGGTGCGTCTCTTGCATACCGCCAACCCAGATTTGATCCCTGACACCCGATCTGGTCTGTGAGCCCCGCCGGGAGTAATCCCTGAGCACTGCAGGGTGTGTCCACAAAACAAAAAGCAAAAAGGGTTGGAGCATGAGCTTTGCATGAGCTGGAGTGTGACTGGAATTACCTGGGCCCCAGGTGTACCCCCCATCACCAAAAGGGAGATGGAGTGGGCACGTGATGAGAGAAGGTCTGGGTCTCTGCGCTGGGCCTCGTCCTCCTCCTTCTCCTCCTCCTCCTCCTCCTCCTCCTCCTCCTCCTCCTCACCTGGGGTGGGGAGAATAGCATTTCCCCCGGAAGGAACTCCTGGTCCAGTTGCCTTCTTCAGCCCCTCCTCACCTGCTCTGGCTTCCCTGCTTGTTCTGGGACTATTTCATCAAGGAGGAGGGCCTTTAACCCTCTACGGGCAGCCCTGTTCAGGTCAGTCTTGGCACAGTTGGAAGCTGGCAGGGACTGTCCCTCTGGCTGGGGCACCGTGGCCCTGCGGTTGAGTAAGAGCAGAACCCTCAGCCCCTCGCAAACAGGCTGGTGGGCCATCAGCAGGCCAGAGGAGGGGGAGATCCTGCTTTGGACAAACGGGGTGGGCAGTTCAGCCGCACTCTGGATGTAACCCCCAGCAAGCCCCTGTCTCCCCGGAGCAGACCCTCCGGATGGACCGATGCACCATTAACCCTCTCGGTGCCAGGAAAGGGCAGGAGGTGAGAACTGGGAGGCAGCCGAGGCCATCCTTTGACCCTCCACGTGGTATTTACCCAGGGCAAGCTCTGCCAGAGGTACAGGCCCTGGGGTATAAAGCAGAAAGTCAGTCTCTGTGCCCAGAACGGAGCAGGTGAGCAGCTGGGCGTGTGCGGGGGGCACCAGGCTGTAGATCCCGGGGAGGGAGTGGTGAGGATTACAGCAGTGGGAATGGGACCCCAAGACAGGCTCTTGGAGCACCTGAGCTATCCCTGGGGAGACCTCAGTTTTTCCAGCCACGAAATGGGTGTGGGTGGGAAAAGAAGCGCTTGGGGTGGAGGGGTTAGAGAGGGCCTAGAACACTGCTTCTGGGGCCCCGAGGGGCCAAGTCACACTCCACATGGCGTGATGGAGGAGGAAAGGGAGACCCCACCCCTGACTGAGGGTCCCAGGTCAGGCCCCAGATCCAAGTCCCGTGGCTTCCACCCTCTAACCAGCCTCCTTTCGCCTCCTCAGGGCTCATCATGGCGAACGTGGCGGCCGCTCTGACCTGTGCACTGGCCCTCCTCACAGGTGGGTCTCCCGCCTGCCATCCATGTGGGAGTGTCCCTTGGGGGCTGTGCAGTCTGTGCGTGCATGAGAGCAGGTGCCCATGTGAGCGTGTAAGCACCTATGTGTATGTTTGCATGTGCACGTGTGCAAGTATACGTGTGGATGCATCTGCAGACACACATGCATGCCTGTGGGCATCTGTGTGTGTGCCCGAGCCCGTGTGAACCCAGCCCCTCACCATTCCATCCCTGTCCACAGTGTTTTCAGCTGCCCAGGCACGAAAAGGGTTCTGGGACTACTTCAGCCAGAGCAGTGGGAACAAAGGCAGAGCGGAGCAGACTCAACAGCAGAAACTGGCCCTGGAGTCCCCGTGAGTGGCCAGGGCTAACGGTGTGGGTGGAGGGAGGGCACAGCCGGACCCCAGGATGCTGCCCTGCCTCTTACTTCTCCCTCCTCTGCTTGCCGCTGCCCCCAAAACCCTAACCCTGGTGGTTCTGGGCTCCCCTGAACCCTCCACCTGGACCCTGGATATGTCTCAGCAGTGAAGAATATGTTGCATGCCCAGGACTTGGGTTCGATTCCCAGCACTACAACAATAAATTTACAACATCTACAACAAGAAGGGGTTGGAGCGATAGCACAGCAGTAGGGCGTTTGCCTTGCGCACAGCCAGCCGGGAGAGCTGGGTTCGATTCCTCCGCCCCTCTCGGAGAGCCTGGCAAGCTACCGAGAATATCTCGCCCGCACAGCAAAGCCTGGCAAGCTCCCCGTGACATATTCGGTATGCCAAACACAGTAACAACAAGTCTCAAAATGGAGACATTACTGGGCCCACTCGAGCAAATCGATGAACAACAGGACAGTGCAGTGCTACAACAAAAAGACCTTTTGGGGGGCTGGAGCGATAGCATAGTGGGTAGGGCATTTGCATTGTACGCGGCTGACCCGGGTTCGATTCTCAGCATCCCATATGGTCCTCCGAGCACTGCCAGGAGTCATTCCTGAGTGCAGAGCCAGGAGTAACCCCTAAGCATCGCCGGGTGTGACCCAAAAAGACAAAAAGAAAAACAAAAAAAACAAAAAGACTTTTTGGAACCAGAGAGATAGAACAGGGCTGAAGGCGTTTGCCTTGCACACCCAGACTCCAGTATGATCCCCAGCACCCCCTCAAGAACCACCAGGGCTCACTCCTGACCACAGAGCCAGAAATAGCCCCTGAGCACCCATGGGTGTGTGACCCCAACACCCCCGCCTGCTCCCCACAGTCCTTCATCCCTAGGAGCACGGACCACCACCTCTCTATAGCCACTTGCTCCCACTGAGGCATGGGACTTAGGAGCCCCACCGTGGCCCCCAGGTTGAAAGGACCGTGTGAGGCGGTGAGGGGCATCTGAGCAAGTGTGTGGCGCGCCTGTGGGGAGGTGGGGGACGAGAGCCCTGCTCTGGAGCCACCATCTCCCGTTGCTTCCGCAGAGGACCCGGGTCACGTGTTTGGGGAGGGGGCGGGAGGAAGATGGGGGGCCTTTGCAGTCTGACAGTCAGCCCGGACCTTCCTCCTCTCCCCCAGCAGCCTGAAGGACAGCCTGGAGCAAGACCTCAGCACTATGGCTATGGATACGTTGCTGGAAAAGCTGGGTCCTCTGGGAGGGCAGGGCAGGGAGTCTCCGGGGCTCCCCCACGACCCCGCAGCCGTCAGGCAGCGGCTGCAGGAGGAGCTGCAGGAGGTGAGGACGCGCCTGGAGCCCTACATGGCCGAGGTGCACGAGCGCGTGGGCTGGCAGCTGGAGGGCCTGCGGCGGCAGCTGCTGCCTTACACCGTGGAGCTGATGGAGCAGGTGGCCCTGCGCGTCCAGGAGCTGCAGGAACAGCTGCGCCTGCTGGGAGACGACGCCCAGGCCCGGCTGCGGGAGCTGCCCGGCCGCGTGGTCGCGCACACGGGCCGCGTGCAGGAGCTCGTGCACCCGTACGCCGAGCGCCTGGTGAGCGGCATCGGGCGCCACGTGCAGGAGCTGCAGCGCAGCGTGGCCCCGCACGCCGCCCACGCCAGCCCCGCGCGCCTCGGCCGCTGCGTGCAGGCGCTGTCCCGCAAGCTCACGCGCGAGGCCCAGGCGCTGCACGCGCGCATCCGGCGCAACCTGGAGCAGCTGCGCCTCGAGCTGGGCGCCGTCGCGGGCGCCGCCGACCGCGACCCGCAGGAGCTGTCCGACGAGGTGCGCCGGCAGCTGCAGGCTTTCCGCAGCGACACCTTCCTGCAGGTCGCCGCCTTCACCCGCGCCCTGGACCGGGAGACCGCGCAGGTGCAGCAGCAGCTGGCGCCGCCCCCGCCGGGCCACCAGGCCTTCGCCCCCGACTTCCCCGCGGGAGACGGCGACAAGGCGCGGCGGGAACTGCAGGCGCGCCTGGACGACCTGTGGGAGGACATCAGCTACGGCCTGGAGGACCGGCTCCTCCCACCGGGGGAGCCCTGAGGGGTCCCTAGCCCAGGCTCACTTCCCAGCTCCTTGGGTGGGAGGGGGTGGTGTGTGGGTGGCACCCAGGGCCCCTAGCTCAGTCCTTGACAGTGGCTTGCTGGGCAGAGGGTGGAGGGGCCCTGCGCAGGAGAGACGAGGCCACCCAGGGACTGTTGTCCCCGGGCAGCGCCGGCCTCTTGCCCCTGTCCACATCCAGACGCATCACACGCTGCAGGCCTCTGCAAACCCGCCTTCCCGTGCTCACTTGGGAGCGCTCAGGAGGAGCCCCGCCCCGCTTCTGGGGCGCTGTGCGGTGCCGGGAGTGAGAGGGGGACAGGCACCCTCCTTTTGAGCCCTGTGTGTACCAGTCCCGTTGCCATGGTGCCGGTAACTGGGGGTGGGCCTCTGCATGGCATGGGGTTTGCCGCAGCCCAGTCTCTTGTGGCCACCTGGTGGCCGCTGCAAGCAGTCAGCTGACCCTCCAAGACCGGGTCTGGTCTTCCCATCCCTGCCTGGTTGGAGGAGGAAAAGGGAGAAAGAGGGAAAATAATGCGAGGAAAGCGTGTGATGATGATGATAATGATGTGATGTGATGTGATGTGATGTGATGTGATGTGTGTGTTTCTCCTTGCTGGGGGCTGGGCTGTGAGAATCTCCCTGGCTGGAATTGCCAGCTCTAGACTGAAGGTGCTTCCCTAGTGCCCTTGGGGGACCCTGCTGTGTCTCTCCAGCTCTGCCCTCCCCCCCCCTCGTGTTCTGGGGGCAAAGCTAGACTTGGAAGCAAAGGAAATAGATGCTTACAACGATGCCGACTTGCCTCGTGTGACTCTCATTTGGACCATGTCTGAAAGCAGGGACATCCCCGCCACCCCCCAGAGGACTCTGTCCCCACTGGAGCCCTTGACTGCTTTTCCCCCAGCTCCAGTCCAGGCGGTCAGAGGGCTCTGGCTCTAGATGGGCTCTGTGTTAAGGGACAGTCTTCTTTCTCCCTTGGACATGGGGCAGACAGACCTTTCTCTGCAGCACACTGGTCACTGGTCTGCTCAGGGCTGCATGCAGAGGAAAGGCTACCACCAGGGCGAGTGAGGGCTGCCCCCAGGGCGAGTGGGGACTGCCCCCAGGGTGCTGTACTCCTTTCTGGGTGACCTGAGTCCACTGTTCCCTCTGCTTCACACACTGGACGGCCCCTTTTTATGATTGATCCCCTTTTTTTGGTTTTGTTTTGGGGTCACACCTGGTGATGCTCAGGGTTTACTCCTGGCTCTATACTCAGGGATCACCGTATAATGTGCCAGGGATCAAACCCAGATTCGATGGATGCAGGGCAAGTACTATTGGTCTGGCCCTCCATTTTTTTAACACATATTTTTAGCTTTGCATCACAAAAGGTATTGCTGGCCCTGGGCTCAGGGGGGCTTAGGGGACCATATATTGTGGACTGCAATTGGGACCTTACCTCTTATATTCTCTACAGCCCCCTTGTCTTCTTGACACAAGTTTCCAATGTGCTGTGTGTGTTTGTGTGTGTGTGGGGGGGGCGGGTGGGATGGGAGGAGGGCCACACCTGGCAGTGATCAAGAGCTACTCTGAGTTGGAGTTTGAACATAGATCTGCCACCCACAAAGCATGTACTCCAGCCCATTGATCTCTCTCTAAACCAAGATTCCCAGAGTCTTAATCTCCTGACCCCTGAATATGCGTCTATTATAGGCGCTTTCTTTTTTTTTAAAGCAATTAAGATTTTATTTATTTACATTTTTTATTAGTGAAACACCATGAGGTACAGTTATAGACTTACAAATTTTTGTGCTGGGGTTTCAGTTATACAATGATCCAGTACCCATCCCTCCACCAGTGCCCATTCTCCATCATTTACATTTAAAAAAATTTTTCGTTAGTGAAACACCATGAGGTACAGTTGTAGATTTACAAATTTTTGTGCTTGTGTTTCAATTGTACAATGATCAAACACTCATCCCTCCACCAGTGCCCATTATCCACCACCACGGGTCCCAGTATACCTCCCACCCCCCATTCCCCCGACCCACCCTGCCTCTGTGGCAGAGCATTCCCTTTTGTTCTCTCTCTCCTATGTAGGCACTTTCACTCCTCTTAGATGTTCTGGGAACTCTGACATTGCAGTAAGGTACAGGGAGTGTGTGTGTGTGTTGGAGTGGGGGGAAGGAGGGGAAGGAAAAGGAAAATACACCTCGTTCACTTAGAAATGCCCTATCCTGCCACAGCACCTGCCTGCTCTCTCTGCAAGTGGCCGCAGGTGAATCTGGATTCATAGCCTCCAGGTTGGTCCCCTCCCCTGATGCCCTGAAGTTTGCAACAGGATTGGGGGGTCAGTGCTCAGAGAAGAGAGGTGCTGGAAAAGAAAATCCACCCAGCCCCCTCAAGAGGTGTTTTTGTTGGGACTGGGAAGAGTGAGTCAGCTGAGGAGCTGAGGCTGAATAGGCAAGGAATGGGGGGCGGGGGGGCGAAGGGGAAATAAAAAAATGAAAAATGAGGCTGGAATTCGGGCTGATGTTTATGAAGACACGGTGAGGATGAGAACTGACAGGAAGGAGGTGCTGAGAGAGTGGAAACTGGAGTGGGTAGCAGAGTCAGGCCCTGGGGTGGGTTGAAAGAAAGTCCGAGTCAATGCGCCCCTGGGCTGAGACGCTGGGCACAGGCTCTTGCAGCCCTACTCCGGCACCAGGGGTTGGAAGTCTGTGCCAAGGTGAAGCGAAAACTGCCGGGGGTCTCCAAAGACGTCCTGTGGCGGAAGTGACGCCAGCATTGAGGTGGCCGCAAAGCCTGGGAAGGGGAGCACTGAGCACGGGATGCCCAGGCTGGCACCTAAGCCCGGATCAGCCCGGGCGCCCGCAGCCTCTTTGGGAAGGGGCGGGGCCGGGCGCTGGCGGAAGTGACGCAAGGGGCGGGTCAACCGCGGGCCAGAAGCCGGAAGCCGGAAGTCGGGCCGGCGCTGCGCGTGGCTGCCATGGCGGCCGGGGAAGCAGTGGCGTCGGGGCTCCCGGGGGTCGCCGCCGCCCCCTCGCCCGCCGGGGCCCCGGCGCCCCACGAGAAGAGCCTGTTCCGGCCGATCAGCGCCGAGGATGAGGAGCAGCAGCCCACCGAGATCGAGTCGCTGTGCATGAACTGCTACCGCAACGTGAGCCGGGGGCGCGGCCGGGGGCGCGTGGGGAGACCCCGGGGCTCAGCTGCGCGGGGAGCGGGACCCTCACTGTCGTCCCCCCCCCCCCGCCTTCCCCTGGCTCTTGCGCAGGGCACGACGCGTCTCCTGCTCACCAAGGTGCCATTCTTCCGAGAGATCATCGTCAGCTCCTTTTCCTGCGAGCACTGTGGCTGGAGCAACACGGAGATCCAGTCGGCGGGCCGGATCCAGGACCAGGGGGTGTGCTACACGCTGGCCGTCAGGAGCCGGGAGGTGAGGGCGGGCCCCGACAGGTGTCCAGGCTCGCTGGAGGAAGCCGGGGCACTGGAGCCCGAGCGTGGGCGCTGGCAGCTGGGGCCAGAATGAAAACTCTGTGTCCTGGGCTGGAGCAATACTACAGCGGGTAGGGCGTTTGCCTTGCACGCGCCCGACTGGGGTTCGATTCCCAGCATCCCATATAGCCCCCCCCCCCCCCCAATACACACACACACCAGGACTGCCAGGAGCAATTCCTGAGTGCAGAGCCAGGTGTGACCCCCAAAAAAGCAAAAAAAAGAAAAAAAAGAAAAGAAAATAGAAAACTCCTGGGTCCAAGCTTCAGTGTCCAAGCTTCAGTTTCCTCTTTGCGAGATGGTTGGGGCGGGGGTCATCTGCTTTGCAGAGACAATACGGGCAGGGAGGGGAGGGTGGGGAGGATGTACTTTGCGAATTGTGTCGGGGGTACCCGATGAACCTAGATATTAAGGGGCTGGAGAGACGGTGCTGTTAGACGGTGCCGTTGGTGAGGCTCTTGCCTTGCATGCGTCTCACCCAGTTTGATGCTAGATACTTCTTGCGGTGTCCAGCACCAACCACCAGGAGTGATCCGTGAGTGTAGAGCCAGGAGTTAAGTCCATATCAAAAGATGTGACCCGCTTACCGAAAGAAAGGACAAAAAGAAAAATGCTGGCTCACACCGTCTCTGCTCATTGCCAGAGCAGAGTGGTACTGGGCTCTTGGAGGTGGAAAGGGGAGGAAGAAACCGTGGGGCTGAAGTCTGATGGAGCGGACCTGCCTGCGGAGGGCCCCCGCGGTCAGCCTCTCTGGGCCGAACGCTTCTCTTTGTGCCCAGGACCTGAACAGAGAAGTAGTGAAGACGGATTCGGCCACCGCGAGGATCCCCGAACTGGATTTTGAAATTCCTGCCTTCAGCCAGAAGGGAGGTAGGGTCTGGGTCATCGGGCTGCCGGGACAGCTGACTTTCTGGCGGAATCTCTGGCGGCGTGTGTGTGTGGGTTTGGCCCTGTGATCATCGTGCGCTTTATGGATGTCGCGTGAGAGGGAAGCCTAGCTCAGATCCGAGGGAGTGCTGGACGGGCTGTGATGTACAGGCTCCAGCGCGTCCGCGTCACTGTTATTAGAGACGGAGGGAAGCTGGCTCCAGGCCGCCTCCTTCAGCAAATGAGGACAGGAGGGTGCAGAGAGTTCACGTGAACTGTCCGGGCTCAGATACTCCCTGGAGAGTAGCGTCCAGTCTTCCCTGACTTCTGTTTCTCCATCAGCTCTGACCACTGTGGAGGGATTAATCAGCCGCGCCATCTCTGGCCTGGAGCAGGACCAGCCGCTCCGGAGGGTGAGCTGGGGGTTTCTGGAGCGTCGCCGCCCAGGAAATAATGGCTTGTGGGGAGTGTCTGGCAAGAGGGTTTAAGCTTCCTGTTGTAGCCCATCTGTGTCTGCAGAGAACTCTGGGAAGGAAGGATATGGCTCTCGCTCTAGCTGTTACTCTCCTAAGGCCTCATGGCACATGGGCATTGTGGTATTGCCTCTGAATTCTAATTTTTTTTTTTTTTTTGCTTTTGGGGTCATACCTGGCGATGTGGGCTGGAGCGATAGCACAACGGGTAGGCTGTTTGCCTTACACGCAGCCAACCTGGCCGACCTGAGTTCGATTCCTCCACCCCTCTCGGAGAGCCTGGCAAGCTACTGAGAGTATCTCGCCTGCACGGCAAAGCCTGGCAAGCTCCCCGTGACGTATTCGATATGCCAAACACAGTAACAAGTCTCACAATGGAGACATTACTGGGCCCGCTCGAGCAAATCGATGAATAACGGGAGGACAGTGACAGTGATAGTGACCTGGCGATGCACAAGGGTTACTCCTGGCTCATGCACTCAGGAATTACTCCTGGTGGTGCTCAGGGGACCATATAGGATGCTGGGAATCGAACCTGGATTGGCCGCATGCAAGGCAAACACCCTACCCACTGTGCTATTGCTCCAGTCCCTCTTTCTGCTTTTTTTGGGGGGAGGGAGGTGGTGAGGGGCATACCTGCAACTGCTGAGGACCTGTGCAGTGCTGGGAGGTGAACCCAGGACTCCCGTATCCAGGGGTTGCTTTTCCAGTCCACTGCGCTAGTTTCCTGGCTCAGCTGCGTTTTCTGGTGCAAACTTAGCCTCTGTTCTTACTGGCTCCGAGAGGGACTTACCGTCTTAGGGGTGAGGCGCACAAGCACCGAAGCTTTTAACTTTCTTCATGGCAGGCAAAGGATGTGGCCGTGGCCAAAAGCATCGATGAGTTCATTGGCAAACTGAAAGAGCTCAAGCAGTTGGCCTCGCCTTTCACTCTGGTGAGACTCGCGGGGCCGTGGCGAGCCTGGGGAGAGGGGAGGCCGTCCAGACCGGGATCTTTGCGTCGGTGCCGCATGCGCCGGTCGGTGAGGGATTGTTGTGGAGGCTCTCTTGTCCTAACACCTCCCCCCCCCCTTTTAGGTCATCGACGATCCCTCGGGGAACAGCTTTGTGGAAAACCCACACGCTCCCCGCAAAGACGATGCCCTGGGGATCACACACTATAACCGGACTCCGCAGCAGGAGGAGATGCTTGGGCTCCGGGTACGCAGAACATTCTGGACTTGGCTTGCATCCGGATCACCAGGGACCGTATTTGGGGGTTGCCGCCTGTGTTCCTGGTCTCAGCATATTTATTCATCATCCATCGGGCTCGCGGCGGGGACGTCGGGCTACGTGTCACATGAAAGGGTAGCAGTGGCTGCAGGGCTGTGTCCCGCTCTGCCCTGCCCTTGCCCAGGGCTTGCGTTCTGGCTCTCTTGTCCCTGGTGGGCATGTGTGAGCTAGCCCGAGCATTTCCTCCCGTGGCAGGGAGGGCTGTTTGGGGGAGGGGGGTGCTGCTGTGATATTGAGACACCTGGTGATTTGCCTCTCCGTGACTTCAGGCAGATACGTCAGGAGGGGAGCCGGAAGAGGAAGACCTCCGAAATGAAGTAAGTGCTGCGCCCGTTGGTGTAGAGCAAGGAGCAGGCCCCAGGGGCCGAGTCCTGTGTGGTTCCCTGTCTGTCTTCCTCACCACCCACCCACCCGGGCGACTTCCAGTCTGTCCACTGACGGTCTTTATTTTTTAATTTAATTCGATATGCCAGACACAGTAACAACAAAGTCTCCAATGGAGACGTTACTGGGCCCGCTCGAGCTCGAGCAAATTTAATTTAATTTATTTATTTTTGCTTGTTGGGTCACACCCAGTGATGCTCAGGGGTTATTCCTGGTGGGGCTTAGGGGACCATATGGGATGCTGGGGATTGAACCCGGGTCAGCCGCGTGCAGGGCAAATGCCCTACCCGAGGTCCTATCGCTCTGGCCCCACTGACGGTCTTTCGCCCAAGCACGTGCCCAGGTGGGCTGACCCGTGTCCCGGTGTTCTGTTCCAGGTGCTGCAGTTCAACACAAACTGCCCAGAGTGCAACGCTTCGGCTCAGACCAACATGAAGCTAGTCCGTATCTTTTGTGGGGCCGTGAATAACTCTGTACACACAGTTGTGCTCAGGCCGGGGGGCAGCATCCCGGAGGAAGGCACCTGGCCCTGGCTAGGGTGGAGACGGATGGCGGCTGCCTCTGAGGAGACTGCCCCTCGGCTCTGGGTTCCAAGACATAATCAGGCTGCAAGTTCAAGGCCACCGAAGCCACGAGTGTTTGTGTCCCCAACGCTGCGCCCTTGCCCCCTTGGAGGACTGAATGACTGAGCTGCCTTTGTGCCTCAGTTCCGTGCAGCCCTGGTGCCTGGAGCTTGCGGCTTTCTTCCCCAGAGGGTGGTCTGGCTGCCCCGGAAGCAGATTTCCTTAGCCGCATCTAGAAATCCCACACTTTAAGGAGGTCATCATCATGGCTACCAACTGCGAGGTCTGCGGCCATCGTACCAATGAGGCAAGTGGCGCTGTCCAGGGGGAGGGACGCTGGCCGACTCCTGCCCGCCCTGAGTCTGCTCAAGAATGGGGTGGCAGCGGGCACCTGCCATCGGTTTTTCTTCTGGGCCTAGAGGGATGAGGAACCCAAGAGGAAGATGGGAATCAGCCTAACGGAGGAATCTGACACACCCCGTGTTTCACTCGTGTTCCAGGCTGATGGTGGGGAAAGCAGGGCAGATTATGTTACTTTCTTTCGTTTTGGGGCGGCGCTTGGCAGTGCTCATGTCTTCTCCTGGCTCTCCATTCAGGGATCACTCCTGGCGGAGCTCATACAAGCTCATCCTTCCTGGTGGGGCACAGTTTGGGGTGTCTGGTTTGGCCATTTGCCAAGTAAGCGCCCTTCCTTGCTCTCTCTCCAACCCAGGAGGCAAGAAAAATTGTTTATTTTTCTTGATTTGAGGGCCACACCTGGTGGTGCTCAGTAGTTACTCTTGCCAACTAGTTGGGGGGCTCTATGGGATGCCGGGGATTGAACCCGGGCCGGCTGCGTGCAAGGCAAATGCCTTCCCTGCTGCACTCCTTCTCCAGCTCCTTGACCTGCCCTTCTGAGGGGTGGAAGTTGGAGGCATTTTTGACTCAGACCTTTCCAGAGGTGTTTGAAAATAGAACACGCTGCTTGGAGAATTGTAGATCGCCATTACCTGAGTATTTTTAGCCAGAAACTGGTACTATACATATATATTATATACTTGTGTGTGTGTGTGTGTGTGTGTGTGTGTGTGTGTACATATGCATATATACACTCACACACATATACAGAGAGAGAGAGATAAGAGACAGAGAGAGATAGGTTTTGAGCAACACTTGGCAGAGCTTAGAGCTTCTTCCTGGCTCTGCACTCAGGGATCATTCCTGGTGGGCTTGGGGGACCCTATGGAATGCTGGAGATTGAACCCAGGCAGTTCTCCTTTTATTTATTTATTTTTTTAAAGAAATTTTTGTTTTGTTTCTTTGGGGGAAACTCCTGGCAGGGCTTGAGGTTACCATTTCCCTGTTCGGTGCGTAGGAGACATGCAGTGCTGGGGGTCCTGCAGGCAAAAGCCTTTTGAACAGTCTCCTTGGTCCTATGCTGTTTAGTCAGTTTTTATTTTTTGGTGGGGGGGGATCTCTTTGGATCACATCTGACGATCAGGGGGGTTCCTCCTGGCTTTGCACTCAGGAATCACTCGGGGAACCATATGGGATGCCGGGGATTGAACCCAGGTCGGCTGTCTACAAGACAACCCCCTACCCACTTGACTGTCACCAGCCTCTGCTTAATCAATTCTTGATATAAATATTACAAAGGAGCCCATGGGATGATAGGGCTGGGCCAAGTTCTCCAAAGCCCCTTTCAACCCCAGGAATTGAGTTTTTTCAGGAAGTAGGTTTCGAGCCTGTTGGCGGTGTGGGCTGCATTTTGGTAAATGCACTGGTGTAAATGCACTGCTGCTGCCCTCTCTCGGGGATCTGGGTTTGGGTCCCTGTGTCGCTGGTGCTTTGAAGGCTCTGTCCTGGGAGGTGGCTGAACAGATGGAAGGTCTGTGTCCACCCTGGGCATCTCCGCCATGGACTGACCATGGTCACCTGTACAGGTGAAGTCGGGAGGCGCGGTGGAGCCTTTGGGCACGAAGATCACCCTGCACATCACAGACCCCTCGGATATGACCCGAGACCTCCTCAAGGTAACCTCTCGGGAGGTGGCTGACTTCTCATTAGAACGTCCATTCTGGTGCCTGGGGAGCGGGGAAGGTCCCCCCCCCTTTCCCACCTGGGATGACCCCTGGTAGACGGTACAGAGGCGAAGATGCCCTTAAACTTCATATGGTCTTTGTTGTAACCGCCCCCCTCACTCCCTAATCTTCAGAAGATGACAGCTCTCTGTGTCCCTGTGTTCAGAAGGGCACTCCCCGGGCCGCTGCTGACTGGGACCCTGGCAGTCAGGAGCCCTGACTTGGTGGGCCTGTGCCAGCTGGTGCTCCCCGTGTTCCCCTGGTCCCCATGGGGAGGAGTCTGGCGGAGGGAACAGGTGGGACCTGTACTCAGCCGACCTTGCCCTCTCACCTCGCAGTCTGAGACGTGTAGTGTGGAGATCCCAGAGCTGGAGTTTGAACTGGGCATGGCTGTCCTGGGGGGCAAGTTCACCACCCTGGAGGGGCTGCTGAAGGACATCCGGGAGCTGGTAAGACTCAGCACAGGGACGGGACTGGGACTGGCTTGGTGCCTGGGGTTGGGGGAGGGGCGGGGGATGTCTTTGCCTTAAAGCTGAGTCTCAAAGAGTGTTTGGGGCTGGGGTGGTAAGTTTATGGGCTCACGGAAGTGAAAATTCCCAGTCCCAACTCGGATGAACAGTGTGGCGGCGGTAGTGGGGGTGGGGAGCAGAGGGGGGTGGGGAGAGGCGTGTTTATTTGTTTCACCGTGAAATTGGCAAGTGGGGTCCCTTCCAGACTCTCAAGCTCCCTCCTTACATACACATGTATGTCCGTGCGTGTCTCTTCTCCGTGAATCTTTTCTCTGAATTGATTCTCGGTTGATTGGTGTTTGGTTCTTGTTAGTTGGACCTAACCTGGTATTTCTTCAGATGGGCTTCAAGCTAGAGCTCACTGGAGGACTTTGCGATGGTTTCCAGGTGATTGGGCAGTGTCTCTCCCCTGCCTACACACACACACACACACACACACACACAGGGTTATTGTCTCTCCCTTGCCTACACACACACACACACACACACACAGGGTTATTGTCTCTCCCTTGCCTACACACACACACACAGGGTTATTGTCTCTCCCTTGCCTACACACACACACACACACACACACACACAGTTCCAGTTGATTGGGCAGTGTCTCCCCTACACACACACACACACACACACACACATACACACACACTCACACACTCTTCTAGTTGATCCGGCAGTGTCTTTCCTGTACATTCACGCATGCACACACATCTCTACACATACACACTCTTCCAGTTGATTGGGCAGTGTCTCTCCTACACACACATATACACACACATACACCTGTACACACACATACCTTCACACACACACACACACACACACACACACACAGAGAAGGTTATGGCCAGGCTTCACAAAAGTGGAGAAGGTCCTAGCTATTTGGACGCCATTTATTGCAGGTGACCAAGAATCCTTTCACGCTGGGTGACAGCTCCAATCCAGACCAGGCGGAGAAGCTGCAGGAGTTTAGCCAGAAATTGGACCAGGTGAGCGGATTGGCTCGTCAGAGCGCGCTGTCTGGGGCTTCAGGGAAATGGGGCAGCAGACCCAGTTCCTAGCACCTGTGAGATACCTGACCATTGATGTGGGGGATCTGTGCTCAGATCCATGCCATCTGTCTTTCTTTTTTGTTATTTTCCTGGCCACCCTGAGCGATGCTCATGGGTTACTCCCGGCTCTGCACTCAGGAATTACTCCTGGTGGGCTCAGGGGACCAGATGGGATGCCGAGGACTGAACCCAGGTTGGGAGCGAGCAGGGAGGCGGTATGGAGCGTGTGGATGTCTGTGCATTTGACCTCTCTCCTGACTCCGAACCCCCTGGCTGATGTGTACCGTGGTGGCGTCCGAGAAACCCTCTGTTCAAAGGGCAGTTGTTAACTTCTGATGGGAGTGGAAGTTGAGATCCGAATCTCAGGCCGCTTTCTGAAGGTCTTGGCTGAGGATCCTCTCCACTTTGTGTGGCTCCTCTTTTCACCCTTCTTAAACTCTGAGGGCTGGAGCGATAGCACAGCGGTAGGGCGTTTGCCTTGCACGCAGCCAACATGGCCGACCTGAGTTCGATTCCTCCGCCCCTCTCGGAGAGCCCGGCAAGCTACCGAGAGTATCTCGCCCGCACGGCAGAGCCTGGCAAGCTCCCCGTGACGTATTCGATATGCCAGACACAGTAACAACGAAGTCTCCAATGGAGACGTTACTGGGCCCACTCGAGCAACTCGATGAACAATGGGAGGACAGTGTTTGTTTTGTAAACTCTGAGGGGATCCTGCAATGTATCTTGGGTTCACCTCTGTGGCCACCGGCCCTTCTCTGGAACTGTTCTGTGAACCTGTTGTGTTCTGCCCCCTTTAGATCCTGGAGGGGAACATGAAGGCTCACTTGATCATGAACGACCCAGCAGGAAACAGCTACCTGCAGGTGAGGAGACCTTCCATGATCTTTCAGGCTGGAGATAAACTTGCAGCCTGCCTCGACCATGTGTCGTTTACCCGGGAACGAATAGATCCAGGCTTTTGGCCGGCAAACCTCTTGATTGAATTGGTACACGAGGGAAGAGTGGGGAAGTCGGGAGGGACTCTAAGTGTGTTGTCAGGGGAAAAGGACACTCCCTCAGCGTTTTCTTCCAGGTCAGCCCCTCAGCACTTTCTTCCTGTGGCCCCATTCTTCCCCCTAGTTGTAGCAGTGGCTTCTTCTGTAGGGGTTAAGGGGCTCAGTGGTCGTGCTGATGGTGACCCCACTGTCGCCAGACCCAGGGCCTCCCAGCTGCAGACTTCGTAGTCTGCAAATGTGGCCACACAATGAGAAATTGTGCTTGTCCAGGGGTACAGATAGGAAAGCCGAGAGGCTTTAAGCACATAAAGAACTACTCTTGTGTTTGACCATAGCTTTCCCGTTTACCGTGAGGGTCACAGAAAACTGGAGGCTTCCTGCCACAGGCCCCATCGCTGTGTTCTTCATTAGAAGACACAGGTAGAAACTACGCTGACCCGGGCTGGAGTAATAGCACAGTGGTAGGGTATTTGCCTTGCATGAGGCCAACCTGGGTTTGATTCCCAGCATCCCGTATGGTCCCCTGAGCACCACCAGGAGTAATTCCTGAGTGCAGAGCCAGGAGTAACCCCTGTGAATTGCTGGGTGTGACCCAAAAAGCCAAAATGAATAAATAAATAAAAATAAATAAAGTGAAATTGAGGCATCCAGGGGGCTGGAGTGATAGTACAGCAGGTAGGGCACGCAGCCAACCTGGGTTCTATTCCCAGCATTCCATATGGTCCCCCAAGCACCACCAGGAGTAATTCCTGAGTGCAAAGTCAGGAGTAATCCCTGTGCATTGCAGGGTGTGACCCAAAAAGCAAAAAAAAAGAAAGAAAGAAACTAGGCTGACTGTTCCCCATTCTGCCTGACGCCACACTGGTCCATTTCTGCCCCTAGGACCCCATGACTACCCATGATTTGAGTGCCCACCTCCCCCCCCCCCCACACACACACCACACAGACAGACAGACAGACAGACAGACACACACACACACACACACACACACACACACACACACACGTTTGACCCCACTGGGGTTTGGAGTTCCTGAGAACTCCAGAGGATTCCCCGTGGAATCCATCACTGAGGTCATGGGGATGGGCGGTGTGGGGAAAGCAGGGTGAATCAGGCACTGACCCTCTGCTGTTGGCTGGCAGAACGTGTACGCCCCCGAAGCAGATCCCGAGATGAAGGTGGAGCGCTACCAGCGCACATTCGACCAGAACGAGGAGCTGGGGCTCAACGACATGAAGACGGAGGGCTACGAGGCGGACCAGGCTGCGCAGCGGTAGCGACTTCTGAACTGGACCAGCATCCAGGGCTCGGAGGGCAGGGGGACCAGCAGGGATCGGAGAGACAGGCCGCGCATCCTCCACCAGGCCTTGTCGACGGTGGAACATCCAGTCTGAGTCGAGCCCTCGGAGTGTCCTGGAACTTTTCTTAGAGGTTTTGCATCGGCCTGGGAGGAAACAAGAAGTGAACCACGGGGAAAGTCATCCTTGCTCCGTCCCTACCAAGCCCCTCCCTTCCCCGCCCACCACATGCTGTCCTCTTGGTGACCACTCTGAAGTTGGAGCGGAGCAGCGCCGATCCCCTTCGGAGATTGGGACCTGGTTGGGGGGTGTATTAAACCCCAACTGTCCATGGCACTGGACTCCAGAACTGAGGGTGGCCGGGATCTCATTAAAACCACAACAGCAGCGGCACGCACCTGTGAATCCACTGTGTTCTTGTTCCACACTTGGCCCCTGGATGGAAGTCAGCCTGGAGGAAAGTCAGTCAGCCTGGAGGAAAAAGTCTTCCCCCTCGAGTTGACATTTGTCCCTCTGGTAGATATCTGAGTGCTTGCCTTATGCCAGGCATGCCACAGTGGTGAACGAGATGAAATTGCATGTGACGAGTCTCGTGTATAACTGGAAAGGGGCTTTGTCTGGTGTCACCTCGAGGTGACAGCCATGACAGTTGAAATGGTGTGGTTGATGGTGACCGGTGTAATACAGGATGATAAAGCAGGGATATTCAGGACTCGAACCCAGGTCAGTCATGTGCCAGCTCCAGGGAAAGTCTTGCAAAGAGATCATTGGACATGCAGGCAGAGCAGAGGAGTAAGGGAGTAAGCGGTGGGGACAGCTGGGGAATGTGTGTTCCAAGTACACAAGGGGCAGTAGACACTCAGTTCTGAGATTAGAGGGGGTCTTGGAGATCGGCTCTTCCTCTGCCCATTGTGCCCTGGGGGAGCAGGCTTGTCCAGAGAGGGAGAGGCCACGGGAAGGAGGGGGCAGTGCGTGAAGAGATAGCAGGGAGGGCACTTGCCTGGCCTCTGCCTGACCAGCTTCGATCCCCCAGCACCCCGTATGATTCCCCCAAGCACTGCCAGCAAAGTAATTCCTGAGTGCAGAGGCAGGAGTGACCTCTGAGCATTGCCTAGTGTGACTCAAAAAACTTAAAAAGAGGGAGAGGCTTGCCAACATTGGCAGTTAAGGATCCAGGGAGCATCTCATGCCCAGGCTCCGGACTCTCTCGCTGGTGCTCTGGGTAGCACCAAAGCCAGTGAGGACTCCCCTGGTCCTGGCCGCAGGCTGTTCAGTGAAGCCCTGCTGGTATTTGAGACTCGATGACAGCCCTTCCAGCCTCATTTCAGATAACTTAGTGGTCCCCGCTTTTCACCCTGCTACTTTGTTAAACTCTTCTCCCAGGTCACCATGCTCAGTGTCCTTGTTCTCTGTCGCTTTGAACAATGAATTGGCCCCCTGGACCTTTTGAGACTCCCATGATACTATACCGCTGCCTCTCTATTTAGAATCTGCAACTATACCGCGGCCTCTCTTCTTTATTTAGAATCTGCAGTCTCCAGCTTCCTTAATTATATTTGTTCCCAAAGGTTCTCTTCCCTATTTTGGGGCCTTGCTACTTCGAGGGGGGACATTAGCAGCTGTGAGCCTGTGGGTGGTCTTTTATGTACCAGTGATTATGTTTCTTTGCACACCTGAAGAATTTCAGTTCCATTGCCCACTGCAGGGAGTTAATGCCTCTGCTAACCCGTGCTTCTTGACTTTAGGAAGTGTTTGCAAACTTGCTTGGGGAAATGGCAGTGTCATCAACCGTAGGAGAGCCGGTGCTTACAGTGACTGCTTCCTAACCACATAATACTCTGCATCTTTCCAGGCAATGATCTCCAAGCTGGTGTATTTTCGGTTAAGCTTATTTAAGATACGTGTTATTTATTTTTCAGAGGTCTGTGTACACCCCTCCCCTCCCAGGATGGGACAAATTGACCACACTTGGCAGTGCTTGGGGAACCATATGCACTGCTGGGGATTTAACCAAGGTCAGAGGGATGCAAGTACCTTAACCCCTGTACTACCTCTTGCACCCTCCACATTTTTCATAGTGATCACGTTGTTTGGGATCCCTGCTTTCCGCCCTGGAAAGGTACTTGGAAAATTAAAGAGATCTCACCCGTTGCCCCCTACATTCTTATTCTAATAAACATGTACCAGATACATACTTTATCCTAACAAGCATATGTGCCAGATGCCGTTCAAAGCACTTCTTTTTAATAGGTATTGCTTATAAATCTCACAACTTCTGAGTTAGGTGTCATCACTGTGCCCACTTTGTTCACTGACCCAAGGGACAGCTCCAGGCCTAAGCCCTGGATCGCCACATGACGGTTTCTGAAGCTGCCCAGGGGCAGGACCTCAGTTTGGGGTCGTGGTTGTCGCGAGATGGCCGGGACAGCGCAGGACAGCGGCGGAGGGGCGAGGGGTGGGTGGGTGCGTGGGGGGGAAATCACAGACGTGCCCAGGAGGAGGGAGCCTTGACGGCTGCGCACGCGCACGCGCCGCCACTTCCGGCCCGTCGCCGCGGCCACTTCCGGCCCGCCGCCGCCGGGCGTTCGCGCTGGGAAGTTTGGCCCGGGCGCCGCGCCGTCTCCCCGCCCGCCCGCGCCGCTGCCATGGCGGCGGCTCCGCCGCTCTCCAAGGCCGAGTACCTGAAGCGGTACCTGTCCGGGCCGGAGGCCGGCGCCCATGGGGGGCCCGAGGCCGGCCGCAAGCGCCGCAAGAAGCGGCCGAAGCCCGTCGGCGCCAGCGGCAAGGGGTGAGCGGTGGGCGCGCGAGCGGGGCCCGGGCCGGGCGGGGCCGCGGGCTGGGGGTGGGGGTGGGGGTGGGGAGCCGGCTGGGGGGCGGGGGCGTGTCTCGGGGGCTCCTCGAGGGCCCCGGGGCCGCCCAGTGTCCGTCGGGCCGGCCCGCGCGGCCTGCTGCCCGCCGCCTTCCGCTGACCTGGGGACGGGGCCCCTCCCCGCGCGCCCCGAGGTGCCCGGATCCCCCTAGGGCCGCTCCCTGCCCCCTCGGGATGCCGCGGGGGGCTGCGGGGCGCCGAGACGGGCCGGAGGTCCGGGCCAGCGGCGCTGACCCCACCTCCCAGGACCGCCGGAACCGGCTCTTGGACTCCTTGGGACGCCGGGACTCCGCCCGGGCCAGGCGGTTACTGTGCCCCGGGATGAATGAATGCAAGTGACGGGCGACCCCTCACCCCCTCCCCCCGCCCCGAGAAAGAGAACTTTGGACCCAGGAACCGCGCGGGAGCAGGCGGGCTGTCTGCACAGCAGGGTGCAGGAATGATGAAGAGCGGCAAGGGAAGACCCTTCCCAACCCAAGCTCCCCGAGCACCGTCTTGGGAGTCTCCTTGCCCGCGCGCGGCCAAGTTGCACGACCGCGGTGGCGTTTCGGTTCTTCAAGGCCACCCGGGTTTTGGGTGTGCTTTGAGGTGGCCCCAGGATGCTTGAACGCCACCAAGCCACATCGTCCCAAAGAACTGTCAGTTAGAGCCCACGTCTTATTAGTCTGATCCAGTTTGTAGTTTGAGTCTTTCTTTTTTTTGGTGTTGGCACCCTACCCGGCGCTGCGCAGGGCTAACTCCTGGCCCTGCGCTCAGGGAGCACACCCCCGGGACCCTCAGGGATGCAGGGGAACTAACCCAAGGCCATCCCGGGCAAGGCAAGCCCCTTCCCTGCTGTGCTACACATCCCTCTGGCCCCACATTTGGTTCTTTCTTACCTTAGTCTTGCTCTCTCTCTCCCTGCTCCTCTCACTGATGGGGTCTTGGAGGGGTAGTCCAGGTAGTGAACGTACTCAGGGGCATCACAGGTCCGCTTTGGATTCTTTCCTTGTTGTGCCACCTTGTAGGCTGTGTGACCTTGGGCATGGCAATTTATCTCTGCACTGAGCTTGAGTATTTTCAGAGTTGTAGTTGTGATTAGAGACTTCGTCCGCTAACTCGGCCTTGTGGCAGTCCTTGTCATTTGGACTTCCCCGTTGTTTATCTTTGCCAGCATTTACTGGATGCTTCCCAGGACAGCGATTGCCGGTGCTGAGGATTCAGCACGGCTGGGAGAGGCAGGGTCCTCCTGATGAAGCTTGTCACTTAGTGGGGATGGCCAAATAATGACACAGTGAATTGATTCACAAGGGAAATTCTGTGACAGATGCAAGTAAACTATTCCAAGAATGTGTAGTGGGGCAGGAAATGATATGTATATGTGATAGTCCCCTGTGAGGACCCGCAGAATGGGTCCGGGTTTCCCAGCCAAGAGGGAGAAGAGTTGGGCAGGTTCGAGACGGTTCTGTGCAATGAACTCTAAGAGTGAAAGGAATTTGGGTAATCCCAGGTACCACAAGATCACAGGGAAGGGGTGGGGGCGTCAGGATGAAGTCCACGCAGGTCAAGATGAGGTTGATTGGTATTATGTTGTCTCATGTTGTGCTCTCCTAAAACCCTTTCGTGTGTTCATCTGAGAATGAGTTTCCCTTCTTAATCTGATATTTCACATCTAGGATGCGGATCGTGGATGACGATGTGAGCTGGTCATCAATTTCCGCCACGAAACTGGAGAAGGAAGAAGAGGAAGACGATGGAGATTTGCCTGTGGTATATGTCTTTGGTGACCGGGGACGTGCACTCAGCTACCTCTGCAGGGGAGAATTTTAGGGGGGCCGCTGAGTTATTTTAAAATAGCCATGTTTTGTAGCACAGCAGGTGGGCCGGTTCGCCTTGCACTCAGCTGACTCAGGTGTGATCCCAGGCTCCTTTATGGTTCCCTGAGCCCCGCTAGGAGCGGTCCAGAGTGAAGAGCCAGGAGTAAGCCCTGAGTCACCGAGTGTTGCCTCAAACAGACACCTCTCTTTGTTTCTGGAGTGTCCTGTCAGCCTGAAGAGAGGAGCTAGTCAGAGAGGTGGGAGGCCTCGGCCTCAGCGCAGAGCCATGCCCAGAATGGATCCCGCTCCCATGGGCTGGCATCGCCTTTAAAAACAGTGCTCAGGTTTAGCTTTGTTCTCTCTCTGATTTTTCAAGTGTTCCTTTAAAGATTCCTGGCTCGCATGATCACCTTCAGATTCAACCCCACTGGTTCGTAATTACCTTCGAGTCCTTGGACTGGCGGGTTTCTTTCCTTGGGATTAGCTAAGGCCCTTGTTCCCAGCCTCCCTCGGGGGCTGTAGGTCCTTCTTGCTCACGGACTGTCTGGAGGATTCCTGCAGAGAGGCTTTCTGTCAGTGGATTTTATTTGGATTCTTCTATATGGATTCCTGAACTTCTCTTGTGGAATACTCCTGTCACCTTTATGATTTATTTCACTTTGTTATTTTTTTTTCAGATTACTGGGTTTGTTCTTTATTTATTTCTGCCCCCCCCCCCCTTCCTTTTTCTTCTTTTTTGGACCATACCTGCAGTGCTCAGGCCTTACTCCTGGCTTTGTGCACGGATCACTCCTGGTGTTGCTTGGGGGAACCATACTGCAGGCCTGGGGAGTGAATACTTGGGGTCAGCCATATACCAGCAAGCTTCTTATCTCTGTTTTGTGTTTGGTTTTTGGGCCATACCTGGCTGTGCTCGAGGATGAATCCTGGCTCTTTGCTCAGGGCTCGCTCCTGCTGGGGCTCGGGGGACCCTTTGGGGTGCCGATCGAACCCCAGTTTGCTATGTGCAAAGCAAGCGCCCTGCCTATCGTTCCCACTGGAATATGTGTTTGTTATGAAGGAGCGCAGGAGCCCTGGGTTGGAGCCCTGGGTTTGATCTCTGGCACCACATGATTGTCCAGCTCTGCTTGGGAGTGCCCCTTGAGTGACACCAAAATAGTAAAAGGAAGTCTGTCCTGTGGAAAGGGGATTAGTTAGAGCAGAGGTTGGGACTGGGTCAGGGAAAGTAGTTTTGGGTCCAGTAAAATCGAGAACTGGAGTGATAGCACAGCGGTAGGGCGTTCGCCTTACAAGCGGCCAACATGGCCGACCCAAGTTCGATTCCTCCGCCCCTCTCAGAGAGCCCGGCAAGCTACTGAGAGTATTTGATATGCCAGACACAGTAACTACAGTAACAACAAAATCGAGAACTTTCTCATAGTGCCCCTGTAACTTCCTACATGGCCCGCCCTGTAACTGAGAGTGAATTAGGGTTCCCATCAAGGGGCAAACTGAATGAAGGATCATCTCTCGGGGGTACCATAGGGAAGCGTCAAGGTTTGCTTGAGAGTTTGGGTGATATGAAATGTGGTTTTATCCCCTAAAGATTCTCTTAATTCTGTGTACATCACGGTAACTTTTTTGGGGGGGGGGGGTCTCAACATTTGTATGATACTTCCTGAATCAATTATATTTATGATAATAAAATTAAAAAATATTTTTATTTCAGAGCAATTTTATTGTTACCAATTAATTAAAAAGCCCCAAGGGTTTAATTGTTTGAAATAGTAGCGCCTTTTGGCTGTGTTCAGAAATTCTGCTGCTCCGGCTTCTTCCAGTCCGAAGATTTCCTAAAGTGCCCGAAGCCCTGGGTCAGTGTCAGGCAGGGTGCTCTGCTCGATTGCACAAAAGTCAGGGGAGAGAGGGTTTAGCTTGGCTTCAAGGGCCAGTGGCGAGCCTGGCAGGTGGCTGCAAAGGCTGGCCGTACAAGTGCCTGCTGAAGGGAGTCGGATTAGCCGAGAACGACCTTCAGTGAAACCACCTCAGCAGCTCTCAGGTGTTCTTGGAGCAAACATGGCTCAGGCCACTGCCCGTTTCTGCACGACATTTGGTCTGCCGTGGAGAGCAGGAAGGGGAACGGGCCGGGATCACGGGCCGGGACCGTGATTCTCCTTGATTGCATCCTGTGGAGCCCTCAGCACATGTGCTCAACTCCCCCAGGTGGCTGAATTTGTGGACGAGCGGCCGGAAGAGGTCAAGCAGATGGAAGTCTTCCGCTCCAGTGCCAAGTGGAAGCTTCTGGGAGGTGAGCGGCGGCGGCTGTCTTGTCCAGGGGGCCTGCGTTTCTCTTCTCGTCTCTTCTCTGAGAGCGGGGCCTAGCTTACTTGGGCGTGTCATTGATTCCCCAGGAAAGAATTCAGGCCTTCTTCAGAGGTAATAACGCCTGGAGATTGCAAGCCTAGGGCCAGTGATCACTTTCTCTTGCGTTCTGGTGTTGGGGTTCCAGGCTAGGCAGTGGCTTGTGGGGCCTCTCAGTGCCTGCTCCTCCCTGGCCTGCAGTAGAGCATGGAGGACATAGGCTGGACTTTTAGTGGGCAGTCACCAGATTTTGAAGAACAGGCTTGAAGCCTTCGGCAGTGGCTCTTCTCCCTTGGCCAATTAAGTTCCTACTTAAGGCGTATTTTGAGGTTTTGAGATTTGGATTAAGGGCACTTTGTCATCTGTGACCAGAGCCCCGTGTGTCTTACTGAGATTCCCTGTGCCCAGCATGGGGAGGTTCCATTCTTAAATATTCTTGAGTTGTTGAGTGGCGAATAGTCATTTGCTTTTTTGTGGTCTGCTACTCCTTGTTAATCACTGTTTTCCCAATGCTAGTCTCCTTTTATTTTTGTTGGGTTTTTTTGGGGGGGGGCAGGGGAGTCACACCTGGCAGTGGTCTAGAGGGCTTCCTCCGGGCTCTGCTCAGGGATCACTCCTGGTGGGCTCAGGGGACCATATGGAGTGCGGGGGATTGAACCCAGGTCGGCCGTGGGCAAGGCAAAAGCCCTGCCTGCTGTACTGTCTCTCTCACCTGCTAAATGCTGTTCTTAATACATTTTCTTGTATTTGTTTGGTTTTGGTTTTGGGGCCACAACCACGATGCTCAAGGGAATACTTACTCCTTGCTCAGTGCCCAGGGATCATTCTTGGTGGTGCTGGTAGCAGAACCATTAAGGACGGGCAAGCACCTTCCCTCCTGTTCTGTCTCTCTAGTTCTCTTTGTTAGATCATTACTTGAGGCGTAACCATCATTTCCCCTTTCCTACATCCTGGTCACAGTAGGGTCACCATCCTGCTGGGGGCTCTGTGTGGCCAGGGGGCATGTGTGCGAGCGTTTCACTCCCATTTTCATTCTTGCAGATATAAAACTGGATTTTCAGGGTAGTTTCTCCTTTTCTGGGGAGCCAAGCCTGTTCTTCAAAGTCTGGTGACTCTCGTGGGATACCCCGGACCCTTCACCCACCTTTTCTGGGCTGGAGGGAGCTTACCTACGGGTGCTCAGGGATTGCTCCTGACTCTGTGCTCAGGAATCGCTCAGGGTGCGTGGGATCGGCCCTGGGTCTGCCGCATGCAAGGCACATGCCCTGCTCACTGGATTGTTTCTCTGGCCCCTCCGATTAGTTTTGGGGGACGGGTGCTACTGGGACATTGTGGGAAGCACTGGGAGCTGGGGGCGAACAGTGCATTGGTAGGAACCTGACTCTGCTGTTTGGTTTAAGGCCAGAAGGAAGAGCTGTTCTCAGAAAGACACTCCCAGGACGAGACCCCGGGTTCCTCTTCTAAGAAGAGCCTCCACGACACCCCGGACCCTTCTCCCCCCCAGAGGGTCCGTCACGACACGCCGGATCCTTCTCCGCCCCGGAGGGCCCGTCACGACACGCCGGACCCTTCTCCCCCCCGGAGGGCCCGTCACGACACACCGGATCCTTCTCCCCCTCGGAGGGCCCGTCATGACACGCCAGACCCTTCTCCCCGGAGGACCCGTCACGACACGCCAGATCCGTCTCCCCCCCGGAGGACCCGTACCAATACCCCGGACCCTTCTCCCCCCAGGAGGGCCCGTCACGACACCCCGGACCCTTCTCCCCCCAGGAGGGCCCGTCATGACACCCCGGATTCTTCTCCCCGCCGGAAGCCTCATCATCCTTCAGGTGTATCTCCTCGGAGGACCCGTCGTTCCACACCAGATCTGTCCCCTCCTAGGAAGACGCGTCCCAGCCCCCCTGAAACATCCCTGTCAGGAAGGACTCGTGGCTACTCGAATACAGCCCAGCACAGGAGAGCTCACCCTGACTCCCGGGACCTGGACACAAGTGCCCCTCATTCATTGACCAAAGCCAAGAGCACCCGAGCCCCAGAAAGAACCTCTAGCAAGCACGACTCCAACGCAGACCTGTCCCCGCCCCGGAAAAAGCAAGCCAAGACCCACTATACAGGTGAGCAGCTTGGCTCGAAAGGGGAGCGTCAGCCTCAGAAGGACGTGGCTCTTCAGGTCCTTGCCTTTGACCCTCCACGTGTTTCAGATGCTTGTGATCATAAGAAGGGAGTGGAGAGATTGCAGAAGCAGTAGGGAGGTGGTGAGAGTTAGAAATTCATAGTGTAGGGCATTTGCCTTGCGCACAGCCAGCCCGGCCGAGCCGGGTTCAATTCCTCCACCCCTCTCGGAGAGCCCGGCAAGCTACCGAGAGTACCTCGCCCACACGGCAGAGCCTGGCAGATTTGACGTATTTGACGTATTTGATATGCCAAACACAGTAACGACAAGTCTCAAAATGGAGACGTTACTGGGCCCGCTCAAGCAAATCGATGAACAACGGGAGGACAGTGCAGGTTCTAATAGGCCCTTTGTATTTTCTCCCCCTCATATGAGAGAGCTGTGTGTCTGTTACAGAAGCTTTAAAATGTTTACAAATGTGGGGCTGGATACAGCACAGCAGGTTTGCAGGCAACGACTTGGTCTCCCTATCTGGTCTCCCCACCAGGAACGATTCCTGAGCTCAGAGCCAGGAGCAAATCCTGGGCACTGCCAGATATTTAGAAAAAAGAAAAAAGAAAAAGTGGGTCCATTTTTTTTATCTCTAGGAGTGATTTTAATACAAATAAATACATATATTTGGTGTGGGGGGGCATGTCCAGCATGTTCAGGACTTCCTTCTGTCTCTGTCCAGGGCTGACGCCTGGTGGGGCATCGGGGACCATATGAGATGCCAGGAATTGGAACTCTGGTCAGCTGCATGCAAGGCAAGCACCCTAACTGCTGTACTATCATTCCGGCCCTGGGACTTTCAGTTTGTATTTCTTTAGATTTTTTTTTAAACTTTTAATTTTAAAATTAGAATACCTTGAATTTGGCCCAAGGACATCCAAATCTATTCTGTATAGCTTTAGTTGGGCCCCTCCCCCCAGGTCTGCATGCAGGTGGTGTGACCTGTTCTCTGTGGGGATAAGTGTGGCAGGACGTAGGGTCACATCAGACAGTGACAGGGACTTAGCACCGGAACCCCAACTACTCTCTTTGCCTAGTGACTTTCTTTCTGTTTTTGGGTCACACCCGGCAATGCACAGGGGTTACTCCTGGCTCTGCACTCAGGAATTACTCTTGGCAGTGCTCGGGGGACCATATGGGATGCTGGGAATTGAACCTGGGTCAGCCGTGTGCAAGGCAAATGCCCTACCTGCTGTGCTATCGCACCAGCCCCTTAATTATATTTTCAAAGGCTTGTTCACATTTAGTATTTCAACACTAGTCCCACCACTATTCAACACTTTACCACCACCATTATTTTGAGTTTTCCCGCCACCACCCAAACCTACCTCAAAAGGCCCTCCCGTTGATCATCGTTTTGCTCGAGCGGGCCCAGTAACGTCACCATTGGAGACTTTGTTGTTACTGTGTCTGGCATATCGAATACTCTCGGTAGCTTGCCAGGCTCTCCGAGAGGGGCGGAGGAATCGAACTCGGGTCGGCCATGTTGGCTGCGTGCAAGGCAAACGCCCTACCGTTGTGCTATGGCTCCAGCCCTTACCTAGTGTAAAAAGGTAAAGGTAAAGGCCCTCCCGTTGTTCATTGATTTGCTCGAGCGGGCCCAGTAACGTCTCCATTGGAGACTTTGTTGTTACTGTGTCCGGCATATCGAATACTCTCGGTAGCTTGCCGGGCTCTCCGAGAGGGGCGGAGGAATCGAACTCGGGTCGGCCATGTTGGCCGCGTGCAAGGCAGACGCCCTACCCGCTGTGCTAATCGACCTCAAAGCAGATGCTAATTTATTTTGTATTGCTTGTTATAAATAATTGACTCAAAGTGATTCAAAAAGATTTCCTTAGAGGAAAGTGTGAAAATTGTATCTCATCTTGGAGCCATCAAGCCTCTATTAAGAGATATTAAGAGATCATTAACTTGTTGTATTTCATTTTATTTTTAATGTCATGCTTTTTCTCCCTATCAGCTTTGTTCAACTCCTTTTTAAAAAATAAGTTTCTGTTTTAAGAACAGTTTTAGAATGTTCACAGGAAAACTGCAGAAAATTGAGTTTCTGCCACCTCGCCCCCTTTTTTCCCAGTCCTCAGGGGCAGTGCTTGCTTTCATAAGCTATTCCTGTCTTGGGTTACTGTGTGATGCACGTGTCCTGTATGGTCACACGAGCGTTTCCTGCGTCATACAGTTCTGTTGGTTTTGACAAATCTCCCCTTGTGTTTCCCCCGAGGCAGTCTGGTTCCGAGTAGCTGCCCTGCCCTCGGCCGTGCTCCTTCTCTGTGTTCCTCCATCCTTCCTGCTACCGACTTTCAGAGTCATCTCGGATGTTGCTCTTCCCCTCTGTCCCCCATATTTAAATCAGCAATCCTTCTTCACGGGAGGAAACAGTCTTCCCCCAAAGCTCAGAGATTGTAGTCTTGGGTTTCCGGGCTTTCCCCTGAGCCCCAGGAATCCATCCAAGCTCTGTGCCTGGGAAACTCAGTGTCTCCGGTGGGACGTTAGGAACTCCTCTGATTTGTCTTCCTCCTCCAGCGCGTAAACCAAGCCCAGGGCGCCGGAATTCCGATTCCGATCTGTCTCCTCCACGGAACCGACCCCGGCCACAGAGCTCCGACTCCGACCTCTCCCCACCAAGGAGGAAGCAGAGGGCCAGCTCCGACTCCGACCTCTCCCCGCCCAGGAGGAAGCGGAGGGCCAACTCTTCTGATTCAGATCTGTCTCCACCCCGAAGGAGTCAGCCTCGGGGAAAGAAGGTAGGGCCCTGCCTGTGACTCCCTGAGCCCTCGGAGGGGGTGGTGACGCTGATGCCCATGCTAGTAACTCTAGTTCCAAAGACCTTTTAGAGTCTTCTCCTCCTTGCTGAAAGCAGAGTCGGCTCTACCCCAGACCAGGTGCAGTAGCAAATTCCAGATTTCCTCAGTGACTTCTGCTTGGGTCTCCTCCAATTCTACTTCAAGGCTGGAGAGTTCATTGGGGGAGGGGTTTAAGTGCTTGCCTTCCAGGTGGCCAACTGCATCTGATTCCCCTCAACACCAACAGCGATCCCTGAGCACAGATCCAGGATTAGGCCCTGCATCACCACCGGGAAGGCCCTGGAAACAAAACAAAACAAGCAGAACCATCAGGCCTGTGGTGTGCACGTTTGATTCTTATAGTCTCCCCAGGGAGTCCTGGATGTAACCCCCTACTAGCCCATGCAGCGTGGACGAGCCTGTCGCCAGCCTGCGACCTGGGGTTCTTCTCTTTGGGGGAACGAGTGAGGTCTGTGTCTCACTCACAACTCCTCAGTTTTACATCCCTCTTTAGTCCATGGCCCATTTCAACTGAGCTGGCCTAAGGAAAATCAGAGTCTACTGTATCTTCTCTTTGTGAGTTGGTTTGTTTGCCTGACAGAGTAGAGTGTAAGGAACGGTTTCACTTGGCCTTTTTTTTTTTTGTCATTACCCCGAAATACGTGCACGATGGAAGATTGTGAGTCCTGCTTGTGTCTGTTCCTCAGTGTACCCTCTGGTCATTGTGTGTGTCTGCATTCTGAGCGCTCAGCACTGGTCCCTGACCCGGCGCCTTGAGTGTGAGTCTTCATACATGTGCTCTATATGCTGAGAATTCAGCAACACAGATGCCGAACTGCCTCCTAGGGTTGTGTGGGTTTGGGCTTCTGTTTCCTCCCAAACCGTGGAATTGAGCCGTTTTCTTTCCTGTGTTGTGACTCCGGGGGCAATGGTGAGAATACAAAGTCAGAGTCCTGGGTTTGGCTGTTGCGGGTGATCAGACAGCAATGACAACCCCTCCCTGTGTATCCCCACACGGCCTGTTGTCTCATTAATGCTGCATGCTCCCTTCTCCACTGCCCAGGCTGCACACATGTATTCTGGAGCTAAAACGGGGCTGGTGTTAACAGACATACAGCAGGAACAGCAGGAGCTCAGGAAACGGGACCAAGAGACTGTGGCACTTGAAGGTAAACCGGGGAAAGTTAGAGACGGTTGTGGTTGAGACGCGTGTGGCTTACTGTTACTGTGACAACATAGCTGATTGTTCCTTATGCCTGCTTTTGTTATGTTGTTGTTTGGGGGCCACACCCAGCACTGCTTGAGGGCCATTCCTGGCTTGGGGCTTGGGGATCCATGAGGTGCTAGTCGCACCCGGGTCTCCTGTCTGCAAAGCACGTGCCTCAGCCATTTGAGTCATCTCTCTGGCCCGGACCTTAGTGTTCAGACTTTTCTATCAGATCTCAGCTCTAGTTTTATGAACAACTCGAACATTTTTTGTTGTGGCTTTTGGGCCACATCCTGCGATGCTCAGGGCTTGCTGCTGGCTCTGTGCTTAGGGATCTCTCCCGGTGGGGCTCAGGGACCATAATGGGGTGCCAGAGTTCAAACCTGGGTCGGCCACATGCAAGGCAAGCGCCCCGTCCACTGTATTATCTCTCTGGTCCCTGATTATTTACTTTTCACTGGGTCTTTTCCATCTTGAAAAAATACGAGTTTTCAGGCTCCTCAGCTTAGATATTGGTTGGGACGAACTGTGATCTGGCCACAGAGGTTGTTACCCATATCAAAACCCCAAACAGTGGATTTCAGCAGTTAGAGTATTTCTGATTCTGATACTCAGCGTTTGATTGATTCGATTTTGGAGGCAGGCTCCCCCGCGGAAGCCCTGTGCTGCCCCCAGTGATTCTCCACCAGCCAAGCTGGTGGTTCAGTGCAAGGCCCCCAAGGATGCTACCTGTGGACCTGGGGGTTAGCTGGGTCACCCCAGATTGCCGAGTGCTTCTGGCACTGCCCTCAGCGATGCTTGAGGGAACCTTATGGGGTCAGGGACTGAAACCACCTGGATCAAAATAAAATATTTTTTCCTCTCTGCAGCTGAATTCCAACATGCTGAAACTGTATTTCGAGATAAATCTGGTCGTAAGAGAAATTTGAAGATGGAACGTTTAGAGCAAAGGAAAAAGGCAGAGAAGGACTCAGAGAGAGACGAGCTATATGCCCAGTGGGGGAAAGGGTAAGAGGGCTCCCGGGGCGGGAAGGCAGGCTGTAGGCCAAGAGGGAGGACAGCCGGGAGGGGGAGCGGCTGGGAGGAAGGGCAGGTTGCGGGCCCGGGACGAAGTGCTCTTTCCTCTTCTGACCAGCTAGGCGGTGCTCTGGGCTCTTTGCGGGAGCCTGGTGTCCCCGTCAGGTGGGGCCCACTCCACACCTCCGTTGCTGTTCCAGGCTGTCCTTGTCCATTTTGGGCCTGTGCTAGTGAGCAGAGTCTGCATGGAGCATCGTGGTCCCCCACAGCGTGAGGGGAGACTTGGGGCTAGAGCAAACGCTCCTGGTTTCTTCTGCCCAGGCTGGTCCAGAGCCGGCAGCAGCAACAGAATGTGGAGGACGCCATGAAGGAGATGCAGAAGCCTCTGGCCCGCTACATTGATGACGAAGATCTGGACCGGATGCTGAGAGAACAGGAGAGAGAGGGCGACCCCATGGCCAACTTCATCAAGAAGAATAAGGCCAAGGAAAACAAGAGTAAGAAAGGTGAGCTGCCTGGGCGCCGTCGAGGTGGAGGGGACTTCCCCGAAGAGAGTGCGTCATTCGGGTGACGCTGCTCCGCTCCGCGCAGAGGGCTTCTGCTACCTTTTTATGTCCAGCCTATGTCCTACGTGCTCTACTGCGTTTAGATTGGACTCAACGGGAGAGGTCGCTGCCTGGGGTCCCCCGCTGCAGGCTGAGCGAAGGTCGAGGTAACTGCTTTTCCTTCTCCCCTTAGCGAGGCCCCGCTACAACGGTCCGGCACCGCCCCCCAACAGATTCAATATCTGGCCTGGATATCGCTGGGACGGCGTGGACAGGTGAGCCCACGTGTCCCCTGCATTTCTGTCTCCCTGATCCTGCCGTCTCCCCCTCCCCTGCTGATCCTGATGTCACGCCACACGCTGTGTCATTCAGTTCCTGCTCTTGTCATGAGCTCAGTGACCCGCGGTTTGCTCATTTCTGTCCTCAGTCCTCAGGCTCTCGGCTGTCATTCCCACGCTCGGGACGCTGCCTCTGCTTCCTTTCATGGCGTTCAAAGTTCTGGACAGGACACTGGTGGTTCAGCTAGGACGCTGTTTGTTTGGGCATTGGCCACATAGGGGAAAATTTTTTTTTGATGTGCGTTAGTTTCGTGAGGTGTATTCCTTTGCTGGCATTTAGAGGTCCGTTAGGGTGTTCTATGCTCACCCTCATGATGATGGTGATAATCTCTGGGGTTTAGAGGAGCTGAGTGATGGGGGATAGGAGCCTTCTCTGTGTGTACCCTTCCATGACCGTGCGGCCTCCTCCTCGATGCCTTTGGCCTCACCCTGCGCTCTGCCCTCGCTTCTCTCGCTGCCTGTCTGTCGTCTGGGTGAGCTCTTTCCAGCAGGGTCAGCCATTTCGTCTGTGCGGCAGAGTCTGCCTGTCCCGGGACATCATTCTAGTCATGAGCACATTGATTCTCAAACATTTTGACGTCAGGACACCTTAGCTCTCTTAAAAATGAGGATCACGGGACTGGAGCCATAGTACAGTGGGTAGGGCATTTGCCTTGCACGCGACTGACCCAGGTTTGATTCCCAGCATCCCATATGGTCCGCTAAGCACGACCAGAAGTAAATTCCTGAGTGCAGAGCCAGGAGTGACCCCTGTGCATCTCTGGGTGTGAACCAAAAAGCAAAAAAAAAAAAAATGAAGATCTCAGAAAACTTGACGTATGTTGTTTTAGCTGTTAATACTTACGTATCAGAAATTAAACTGAGATGTTAAAAAAATGTTCATTAAGTAATTTAAAATAATAGCTATGAATATAATTTTCAAATACATATTTTTTGGGGAGGGCACAGCTTGCAGCACTTGGGGACGCCTAGCTTAGAGCTCTGGGGTCACTCGTGGCAGTGCTTGGGGGATCATGCAGGGCCAGATCCAGCCCGAGCCTTCTGAGCGTGAAGCATGTGCTCCAGCGCTTTGAATTGATCCCCCAGTCCTATGTATAGCCGTCATTTTGGTCTGGTTTGGTCTGGTTTGGGCTTGGGGTCACATCCAGCGGTGCCCGGGCGTACTCCTGGCCGTCTGTTGAGGGGTCACTCGGGGGACCATCTTCGGTGTCAGGAGTGAAACCTGGGTTGGCCACATGCAAGGCCAGCACTCTTCGTGCTGTCCTGACCTGCAGCCCCTTGGCCCCTGGTGTTCGATCCCTGGCACTTAAAAAAAAAAAAAACTAATTTTCCACACACCTGACTCTAAATGGATCTTTGTCAGGCTCAAGATTTCACGCACTGCTCATTTTGGAAATACTGGTTTGCCGCCTTTTCCAGGCTTTCCTTAGTCGACACAGTGTTTCTCTGGGGACTGCCCCAGCGTGCTCGGTCTGAGGGCCCCTCCTGCAGAGTCTCAGCCAGCCCAACCTCAGTTCATAGAAGGACTCGGGTGCAGTGCACTGGTCCCGCCGTGCCCAGGCTCCCATGCCGCTCCAGAAGGGATCAGGGTCTCTGCGGCCACACCGGGTGGTGCTCAGGGCTCCGGGGGATCGAACAGAGATCGCCACGTGCAAGCCACATGCCGTAGCCCCTGTGCTGTCTCTCCCCCGGTGTCTTCATGCTGTATCTTTGATCTGCTGGCCAAAATCTTTAAATAATGGGGTGCAAGAGTGCATGGTAGCGGATGTGTGTTTTTCAAAATTCTAATTGTTGTTGAAAGCTTAATTTGGGGGTGGGGGGATTTTTTTCTTCTTTCTTTGGGGTGAGCCACACCAGGCAGTGGTACTCAGGATTTAAATGCTGGCTCTGCCCTCAGAGCTCACTTCTGGCGGTGCTGAGGGCCTGTCCATGATACCGAGAATGATCTGACCAGCCATGTGCAAGTCAAGCATAACCCCTGTATTCTCTCTCTCATCTCTCTGGCCCTGAATCTTTTTTTTCAGTAGGGTCACACTGCAGGCTTTGGGCATTCTGAGCAGTTCTTCGGCCCAAAATAGGGTGCTTGGGCCTGGTGGTGCCTTGTGGGGTTGGGGAGACGTCTGGGCTTCAAAGATGCTTGCCATGGGTTCTGCTGTGTAGACTGTTACACGTACCCCTGCTCCAAGAAACTCTTGGCTCTGCCTCGTTTGCTCAGAGTTCTTCTCAGGGGTGGAGAATGTTCGAAGCATTTTAATTTTTTTTTTTTTTGGTTTATGATATACTTAGGGTGCATTGTTTTTAATCCCAAGAATTTAGACCTTCAGTTTTCTTATTGACTTCCATTTTAATTTTGTCAGAGAATAGACTCTGTAATCGTTTGATCTTTGCAGTTTAGTTGTGTCTTTCCGCCTAGCTCTGGTTTAACCATGGTGACTAATTCATTTGTGCCAGAAGATAATGTGCGTTATGCAGCTATTTGGGACAATTTTTTGCTGGTTTTGCATCTGTGGAAAATCTGCATAGGTAGTGTAAAGAATTCCTGTATACTCATTCATTTTCATTACCATTTATTACAGTATCCAGTATGTTCAAGCAAAAACCCTAAGAAACCAATTTGATAATGCCTATGGTCAAATTTCATTTGGATTTCTCTAGTTCTCCCATTTATGTTTTCTGATCTGTGACAACTTTTTGATCTTTGTTTTTTCCTATGTAACCTTGACAGTTTTCTAAAATTTTTTTATTGAATCACTGTGAGATAGAACCTTACAAAGCTATTCATGTGCAGATTTCAGTCAGTGTTCCAGTACCCATCCCACCACCAGTGTCCCCAGGTTCCCTCCCATCACCCCCCTCCCCCCACTAAGCTGCCTCTGTGGCAGGCAGGCTCTCTCTCTCTCTCTCTCTCTCTCTCTCTCTCTCTCTCTCTCTCTCTCTCGCTCCCCCCCTCCCCTTTTTGGTATGGTGGTTTTGGTACAGATACTGAAGGATTATCCAGTTTGCCCTTTGCCTACTTTCAACCCTCAGTTCTGCCCAGCATGATCATTCCTAGATATTCCTGTCACACTGATCCCTTCTCTATCTTACCTACCCTCCACCCCCCACACACTTGTGGTTAATTCCAGCCATCCTTGACAAGTCCTTGAAGTATGGTCAGGAATATTGTGAGTGTTCCTCGGGTCGGGTCAGGTCTGTGTGGTATTTCCACGGTTAGACTGAGGCTGTGGCTTCTGGGAAAGTTTGCCCCAGTAGTGGCAAAGCCTTCTCGTGCTTCAAGTTGAGGGTTCTTGATACCTTCTCACGGTCATCCTGATGTCCCTGTTTCAGTCATAGTGAGAGTTGCCCGGTTCCCTGTTGTTGGAGGGTTTTTTTTTTTTTTTTTTTTTGCCTCTGCTGGCCTCTTCTCTGGATCAGTTTGCTGAGTTTAGCACATACCCAAAAGGAGTCCTGTGTGTTTGGATGGGGGGTGGGGGTATATTGACTTTTCCCTTAAAGCACATTTGTCGTTTTCTCGTTTGTCCCGTCAGCTGCTGAAACAGCATAGATATGTGTCTTTCATACTTTGGGCTCCAATGCAGTGGCATATTGCCCGATCATTCCATCCTCTGGCTCTTGGGAGAGCTTTTGGGCGTCCCATGTCCCATGGAAATCACTTCCGCACACAGACATATATAAACATGGATTCACCCCTCCACGGACATGTGTTCCAGACGCCTGATGCATTCAACACTGGCTGGTCTTGTGGGACCTTTCCTCCTTCTTTCACTTTAGTTTCTCTCCGCACGGAGACCCTGACAACCACAGAGACCATCCATTCTCCTCACCTTCGAGTGATGAACACAGTCACCAACCAGAGCTTGGCGTTTCCCTGTAGTTCCTTTTATCCGTCCTAGGACCTTCTGTTCTAGCCAGAAGATCATTTCCCAGCATTACCTCAAGGTCAGTTCTTTGCGTTAGGTTACTGTCTTGCTGACATCTATGAGTCAGGTTGGTTCCTCACAGTCTGCATCTGTCCTTCGATCTAGCCCCCTTCCCCTGAGAGGCAAGCAAAGGAGAGAGGAGGTGGCCGGCTCTCCCCGCTTTTCAGCCCATCCCCTGAGAGGGATGCGACTGGCACAGACGCGGGTCTGAAGAGGTGTCTCCCTGTACCCTTTGCTAATGTGCTATTGTAAATACCGCTCGCTCGTCTCTTCCTGTTTTGTACATGTGACACTTGCCTTAAAACAGCATTTCTCACAAATGAATACAGTGTTTCTACCAGCAAAAACAAAGGGAAAGAACTTTGGTCCTATTGATTGTGACCACCTTTGTGTAAGCCCCAACCCCTCATGCTTTGGGATTTAAATAGACTGTAAGAGTGGGCTGGGGGATCCTGATTCCAGGGCCAGAGGGAGAATGAGAGGAGGAAGGAGAATGAGGTGGGTTCCAGAAAGAGGATGAAGTAGCATGGGGGAGGAAGAAGCAGGAGGAGAATCAGAGAATAGAGATGGGAATGAAATAAACTGCAACTGACACCAACCGGCCTGGCCCTCGTTTCCCTCCTTCGCCTGCCCATTGCCAGCGACCTCCCCGTGGTGGGGGAAGTGGCCCGCGACTACCGAACGCGGGCGGCGGGAGAGAGAGAGTGCCGCTGCCCCCCCCCTTTTGTGTTTACACATCTCCTGGGGGATTTTGCTGCTTTCAGTTTACCTGTGCGCGCGTGCAGCCCCAGACACCTGAGGGCATCACAGACCTGTCATTGCTCAATCTTGGGTGGCTGAACGCCACTTGTCCCTCTAAGAAGTTGGGGGACGCCGACCACTCAGGGGTCGCGTAACTAGTTAGCATGCCAGAATCTTGTTCGTTATCGGAATTAACCAGACCAATCGCTCCACCAACTAAGAACGGCCATGTACCACCACCCACGGAATCGAGAAAGAGCTATCAGTCTGTCAGTCCTGTCCGTGTCTGGGCCGGGTGAGGTTTCCCGTGTTGCGAGGGCTGGAGCGATAGCACAGCTGGTAGAGCGTTTGCCTTGCACATGGCCTACACAGTCGACCGGAGTTCGATTCCTCCGCCCCTCTCAGTGAGCCCGGCAAGCTACCGAGAGTATCTCGCTCGCACCGCAAAGCCTGGCAAGCTACCCGTGATGTATTCGATATGCCAAACACAGTAACAACAAGTCTCACAATGGAGACGTTACTGCCACTCGAGCAAATTGATGAACAACGGGAGGACAGTGACAGTTTATTTATATTCGAGTTGACTGAGTTGACTCTTTATGGTGTATGTTCTGTGAGGGCTGTATCCCTTGCCTACCACCCTCCTCTTCTTTCAGCACCCAGAAAGTGTCCCTGTCACCAGTTTCCTCCCCTCCGCCAGACCCCTTTAACTACTGAGCTAATTTTCATCCTATAACTTTCCTCTTTCTGGAATGTTGCATGGATGGAATTACACGGTATGAAGCCTCAAGTCTGACTTGTAGCACTTGTATAGTGCATTTAAAATTCATCCGTGTTTCTCCGTTAATCACTTTCAAAACAACAACATAAGTTTACTTTTTTCTTTTTATCACCAAATATTCCATTGTATAGCTGTACCATAATCTCCCAGTTGGAGGATATTTTAAGTCATTTATTATTTATCTTATTTTCAGAGATTGTGAATAAGGCTGCGTATAGGTGTACATTTTTTATTTTCACTGAAAAGACAGTTTTTATTGTTTTGAGGCCACACTCAGGTGCTCGGGATAGGTCATAATCGGGGCTTCCTCTGGTGGTGCCCAGAGGACATACGCCCTGGGGGAGTGAACCTTGGCTCCCTGCACTCAGCCATTGAGCACAGCTGACTTTCTCAGACCTTCAGCATTTGTTGTTGTTTTTTTGGAGTTTTTTTTGGGGGGTGGGGGGTGGCACACCCCAGCAGTGCTCAGGACTGTGGCTTTGCACTCAGGGATCACTCCTGATAGGTTCAGAGTACCATAAGGGGGCTAGGGATTGTACTTGGCAAGATTGTGTGTGTAAGTAAGGCCAGCCCCCTTCCCACTCTACTATCTCTCAGACCCTCGCTTTTATTCATCTTTTGCTTTGGGTCACACCCTGTGATGCTCAGGTCTTAGTCATGTCTCTGTGCTCAGGGATCACTCCTAGCAGGCTTGGAGACTCCATGTGGGATGCCAGGGCTCAAACCCAGGTCGGATCCAGATGAGGCACGTGCCCTACCTGCTGTACGGTCTCTCTGGCGTCCACCTTTACTTTTGAAAGATGTCAGTGTTATGTAAGTGGCCAGGAGCTGAGCAGGCAGGACGGCGTATCAGACGGCGTATCCTCTGCTTGCACCCTGCCGTGTCCTCCGTGACCCTAGGACACAGTCAGAAAATCGACACTGACACGACCTTAATGAAGCCAGAGACCTTCTTGCTGTCCTTTCTGGAGACCTAATCGACACGAAGCCCTGTGGAAAGTGCCGCGTTGTGGTCTCTGCCGTTCATGATGAGAAACCACCCAAAACTGCCCACCTGCTCCCTGTCTCCGTGCCCCTCTCAGGACGCACACAGCGGGATTCCTGGCTCTTCCTGGCAGCTTTCATTGCTTCCTTCTTGGCTTTGGTTTTTAGCAGCTTGACTCTGATATATATAGAAATGGTTTTATTTGTATTTATCCTTCTCTCTGTGTGTTGAGCTCCTGGATTTGTTACTGTTTTCCATTTAGGAAGAATTTGGTTTTCTGTTTGTTTATGTGCTAAGGGACCACTCCTCTCAGTATTTGGGGGACTGTATGCCCTGCTGGGGACTGAACCAAGTTCAGCCAAGTGCAAGGCCTTACCTCATTACAACTCTTTGGCCCCCAGTAAAAGAGGATTGTTGGCTACTTTTTTCCATTCTCTCTCTCTCTCTCTCTCTCTCTCTCTCTCTCTCTCTCTCTCTCTCTCCCCCACCTCCCTCTCTCTCCCTCCTCCCTCCCTGCCCCTCCCCCCCATTTATTTTTCTCTCTCCTCCATTTGCCTATGGGTCCCTGCACGCACCAGGCTGGTTCCTGTTCTCAAACCTCTGCCCTTGGAAGACCCTCAGTGCTTGCTGTTCTTCCCAGCCTTCAGGATGAGTGCAGGGACCACCTCCTCCATGCTTTTCTTGAACATTCTTGCCCATCTCCCCATAGACTAACTCCCCCCCTCACACCCCATTTCATTTCCTATCTAGTGCTTATTTCCACCAGAACTTGTGCCTTTTAATTGAATTAACAGAATCAGATTGTTTCATTGAATTGACAGAATAATTGATTCTCTTGTTTTGGTACACTGGGTAGTCCTGGGACCACTCTTGGCAGTACTTGGAGTCCACAAGGAACCAACCATAGGGCAGTGCATCTGGGGAGTGAGGGCGCTTCAAGCACAGGCCCTCACCTGGACAAGGCATGTGTACAGTCAGGCCACATTCCTGGTCCTCTGCCCAGCACTGTTTGCGTAAATGTCCATCTCCTCCATTTGTCCGAGTCCGTCAGCTTCGAAGGATTGTGTTCCTCATGAAGCGCCTAACTCATCTTTATGATTCAGTGCCCGTTGTAAAATCGGAATTCACTGAATGTGTAATGAAGAGGCCGAAGTATAAGAGGTAGTTCCCCTCCACAAGGGGTCGGACCCTGAGAGAGGGCCCGGTGTGTGAGCAGCTGGAAGGATCTGAGCAGGGATGGCAAGAGGGTGCCACACTTGACCTGTGCCGTTGCTTCTGCCTCTCGTGCTTCAAGTGTTGCCGTACCGCCTGCCTTCCCTCCTCACTCACCACCACCCTGTGCCCTCTGCTGTCCTCATAAGCAAGCGCCCGGCCCGGGCTGCCCCTTATGAGTGTGTCTCTTGATTGCAGGTCCAACGGATTCGAACAGAAGCGCTTTGCCAGGCTTGCCAGCAAGAAGGCGATTGAGGAGATGGCCTATAAGTGGAGTGTTGAGGATATGTAACTGTCTGGAGGCCGTGGGAGTGACGATGGATCGTGGCGGTGGACGTAGGACGGCCCGTTGTCCAGCAGTAACTGTGTCTCGGGTCATAATCGGAGTCAGCATGTCCTGGCCACTTGTGGAGTGCCAGTTTGCCCACAGAAGAATCGCACACCTGTTTGGGTCCAGGCTCTGCCCAGGCACTGGCACTCGCTGGCCTCCAGGGGACGCACCGGCCCCTTCGTGTCCTGGGTCTGTTCTTGGTCAGGGTTTTCCTTTTGTAATAAAACACGTTTATTTTTTCTAACTCGTTTCCTTAACTGGGTATTCCGTGTGGGAGCAAGATCTCAGGCTAATGTGCCAGCTTTAGGGTCACGGATCCGCTGGGATCTCAGTGGGCGATAGTTGGATTTTCCACGAATCTGAAAACTGCCCCAGTGATGGATCCTGCCTCTCGGGAAAGAAGACTAATGCCAGCCGGGACTTAAGAGGGGACATTTGTGCTTAGGCGCATGTCGTGTGATGAACTTAGTGGCTAGTGGTCTCAGAAAACAGACTCACTGTAGGGACAGAAATAAAGCGGAAGTTCTACCTCACAGTGCACTAGAGACAGTTCCCAAAGTCACTGAAGACCTAAACAAAATTGGGAGAATGACTCTGGGACAAGGATGGATTTGCTCACTCTAATTCTCCAGCGCACAGTACATGGCGTTTGGTAGCTTGACAGCATTAACAGTCAACAGGGTAAATGTCTTCAGTGCCTAAAACCAGCAAGAGATTCCCCATGCGAGGAATTGAATGGGGAACTATTGCAAATCAGAATTTTTTAAAAAAATGGCAAATAAGGGGCTGGAGAGAGTAACAGCAGGGAGGGCCCCTGCCTGGCACACGGCAGACCTAAGTTTGATCCCCGGCGCCCCATATGGTCTCTCAAGCACTGCCAGAACTGATCTCCGAGCACAGAGCCAGGAGTTGGCCCTGAGCACTGCAGATGTGGCCTTCCCCCACCTAAAAAAAAAAATGGTAAAGTAAAGTAAAGTAAAGGCCCTCCCGTTGATCATCGATTTGCTCGAGCGGGCCCAGTAACGTCTCCATTGGAGACTTTGTTGTTACTGTGTCTGGCATATCCAATACTCTCGGTAGCTTGCCGGGCTCTCCGAGAGGGGCGGAGGAATCGAACTCGGGTCGGCCATGTTGGCTGCGTGCAAGGCAAATGCCCTACCGCTGTGCTATCGTTTGGTAAAGAATAAAAATAGGTCAAGTCTAAAGGGCAAACCAGAGAGGTTTGTAGTATATTACTTCATGTAATTAGAGAATACAAATTAGAACTCTTTGCTTATCTACTAGTCATTAGAAATAAATGAGAGATGGCACCGATAGGAACTGAAAACTCATGGGGATGAGCTCCCTGGGGTGCAGACGGGCACCCTGAACCCATCCCTCTTTAGGGTGGCTCCAGAGCCACTCGGCTTACTGTTCCAGCTGTGTCCTGAGTACGCTGTGGGGCCTGCTAGGTCATTCACCTACCCGGTGCCTCAGGTTGTTTTTAATACCTGTGGAGAAAACAGCGTCTACGTCACGGATCTAGAGTGAGCTCAGTGCAGTGCCTGCCATGTAGTTCGTGCTCAGCTGTGCCGCTACTGTGTTGCTGCCTTGCCTGTTCCAGTCTTCCTGGCCTGGTTCCAGGATGTCCTCCAGAGATGGCGGCCCCATGTTTGAGCTCTTGAGAAGCCCCCGTCTGCGACGAATAGGGCAGATCGGTGACGGGGAGACCCGATTGCAGTGCCCTCCTCCTCCTCGGATCCCTTACTCTGCAAGAAGCCAAGTGCCACACCTGAAGACTGCGATGCAGCCCTTCGGAGAAGCTCCCCCAAGGAAGACATCTCAGCACGTTCCCGCCTAGGAAGGGGGTCTCTGGCTCTACTCAGACCCTCAGCAGCGGGACCACACGCCCGGGAGAGCAAGCGTCCGTCAGCCAGACCCAGATCCTTGACCCAGACCAACTTTGAGCTCACAGATCTTTATTTTTTTCAGAGCAGCTTTGATTAAACCGAATCACTCCAGTAACTGTACACGTTACTCATTGATTGCATCCGAGTCGGTGGTTTCTAAGCATATCACACCTGTGCCACAATGAGTTCAGAACATTTTGATCACTCTGGGGAAAAAAAAAAACACTGCGTCCACTTGGAGTCACCCCACACACTCTGTGTCCCCAACTCTGGGCAGCCACTGGCCTGCGTCCATTCCGTGGAGCCTGGCCTGTGGAAGGTGTGAAGGCCCTGGCACACGACGCAGCCATCGTCCCATTTCTGTCTTTTTCCTCTCACGGCATATTTCCAAGGCTCCCCCACGTTGTAGTATGAATGAGTGCTGCCTTTCTTTTCCTGGCTGCGAAATATTTCTCGGTGTGGCTGGGACCTATTTCCATGATGTGTCCACTAGTCAGTGGATATCTAAGTTGTTTCCACTTCGCAGCTCTTGTTCGTTCCTGTTGTCGTGTTTTTTTAATTTGTTTTTTGTTTTTTGGGTCACACCCGGCTATGCACAGGGGTTACTCCTGGCTCTACACTTAGGAATTAGTCCTGGCGGTGCTCAGGGAACCATATGGGATGCTGGGAATCGAACCTGGGTTGGCCGCATGCAAGGCAAACGCCCTACCTGCTGTGCTATCGGTCCTGCCCCTCATCACGGTTTTTCATGTGGACACGTGTTTGCCTTTTTCTCACTGTTGAGTTGTTGAGCTGGTAGTAACTCCACATTTCACTTCTTTAGGAACTACAGAACAGCCAGGGCAGTAGATGAAAGTTCCCGCTTTATCCACACCCTCCCCAGCGTTGTTCTTCTCCATCTTCTGGATTATCGCCCGCCCAGTGGGGGTGGAGTTGCTATTGTGGTTTTGATCTGCCACATTTCTCTAATGCTTTTTTTTTTGCTTTTTGGGTCACACCCGGCGATGCACAGGGGTTACTCCTGGTTCTTCACTCAGAAATCACTCCTGGCGGTGCTCAGGGGACCATATGGGATGCTGGGAATCGAACCTGGGTCGGCTGCATGCAAGGCAAATGCCCTACCCTCTGTACTATCCAGCTTAATGTTCATTGAACAGCCTTATGTATATCATCTTGGGAGAAATATTCGAGTCCTCTGCCAGTTTTCAGCTGTTATTTGTCATACACACAGACACCACACACACACACACACACACACACACACACACACACACACACACACACACACACACGCCCCAACCATACAGAATCACAAACTCTCCTGTAGCATTCTTGATTCTTGTTGCAGCTCTCTTATCAGACGGAGGATTTGCTGCCGTTTTCTCTCACTCTGAGGATGCGATTGTATATTAAACTGCTCGCTTTTGAGGTGATTTTGAATACTGCAACAGACGCCTAATGCAGTAGGTGTGCACAGACCACACATCGTGTAATATGCGTGCACATCAAAGCAGTCCCACTCCTGGCTGTGTCCTCGGAGAAACCCGCACAAATCCACCGGGAATTCTGTACCAGGCTGTTTATCTGTGTCTAGTCTGGAGAGTCAGAAGCTGGCAACAGCTTAGATGTCGGCCCGTTCGGGAGTTGAAAAGTAAAACGGGGCAGAGACACGTGCAGGACCTGCATACCGAGCAGGAGTCACCTGAGAGAGGAAAGGAGGGTCCTATACAGCGACAGCCAAAGCCAGCCGACGCTGCTCTTCAAAGGATCCGAACCGAATTCACTAGAATGCCTCTGGGCGGGTGTGTGTGTGTGTTGGGGGTGGGGGCTCCCAGGGCAGGAAACTGAAAGAGAATGAGGAATCGAGGAGGGGAGCTAGAGGGACCTCACGAGGCTGTATCCGTGTCCTGTGCGCAGGCCTGCGGGGAAGCCCGGAGCTCTGCACGCGAGACCCCGAGCCTGGCCCCTGAAGCGAGGTCTGGCTTCACCTGAGTTGGCAGCTGGTACCTGTGTTCGTCAGAGGCGGTGAAATGCCCCGGCAGCCTCTGGCCTTCAATCCAGCCTTCTCTCCTCCTTCACGCACGGTCCAGGGTCGTCTCAGAAGGGGCCAGTGCCAGCCACATGTGCTAGGTGAAAAGGAAGCTCAGATAGAGAAGGTAAAGGTAAAGGCCCTCCCGTTGATCGTCGATTTGCTCGAGCGGGCCCAGTAACGTCTCCATTGGAGACTTTGTTGTTACTGTGTCTGGCATATCCAATACTCTCGGTAGCTTGCCGGGCTCTCCGAGAGGGGCGGAGGAATCGAACTCGGGTCGGCCATGTTGGCCACTTGTAAGGCGAACACCCTACCCGCTGTGCTATCGCTCCAGCCCAGATAGAGAAGAGAGCACCAAATAAAGGGTGTTGTGAAGACCCTCCCAGGGTCGGAGAGACGTGCTGAAAGTAGTCTATAGACCAAACATGATTGCCACTCAATGCCTCTCTTGCAAAACACAGTACCCAAAAGAAGAGAGAGAGAACAAGGGGGAATGCCCTGCCACAGAGGCAGGGTGGGACGGGGGGGGGATGGGGGGTGAGAGGGATGCTGGGACCCGTGGTGGGGGAGGATGGGCACTGGTGGAGGAATGGGTACTTGATCATTGTATAACTGAAACCCAAGCACAAAAATTTATAAGTCTATAACTGTACCTCATGGTGTTTCACTAATAAAAAAAAATAATAATAAAAAAAAGGCAAAAAAAAAAAAAAGAAGGGGCCAGTGGGAGAGCGTGGACTTCCAGCGCATTAGAGGGTTGGCCAGTGTTACTCTGGGCACAGCCAGGTTTGTGGGGCCCGGCAGAGGTACCAGGCCAACCCTAGAAGAGGCAAAACTTCTTCCTCCCTCAGGGGGGTCTGAGATGCAGATGGTACTCCAGGGCAAGGGGAGTGGGGTCTTGGCGGGCAGCCCCCCTCAGAACTGCTGCGATGTGCAGCTTCAGGACTCCCGGGGGAAGACTGGCCACCAGCTGTCAGCCATGTGGATTCTGGAGCCGCTGGAGAGCTGAAAAGCCCAAAGGAACTCTCGTCCCCGCTGGGGAGTCTCAGCGGGGGGCCCGGCAACTTAGGGGTGACATTTGCCTGAGTCTGGCCAGGGGCTGTCGAAAAAGCTCAGAGAGAAGAAGCAGGACCTGGAGTTGGGTCTCAAATCAGCGTCTGTGGGCTGGGGCTTCCCAGGGGGGGACCAGGTGCAGGAAAGAAGCCCCACGGTACTGATTAGTGAGCCTGGGGTGGGGGTCCCACTCAGGCGCCCAAACTGAGCTCCACATTGCCAG